TGGGCCTAAATGTTCCCTAAGTCAAAAGGGTTTGCTGATGCCAAGGTGATGTCTTTCAGTTACGCACGCTCTGGCTGCAAAGCCTGCCCTGCAGAATCCCACAGGCACAGAGTCTACCTGCAGGAGCAATGCCAGCCTTGGCACCCTTGCCAGCTCCCTCCCACAGCACCATTGTTTGCACAGACGACTTGCCCACATGCCAACTGAAAATGTTGGCTATGCTCCTTTTTCATTGAATTAGTTCATCTGGTTGTGAACAGCACCCTACCCACCCCCTGCAAAAGAGAGGCACATTTTCCTCAGGCTACAATGAGTCATCAAGACTTGGTTTTCAGTTCATGTGACAATTATTCCAGAGGATCCCTTTCAAAACATAAAATTGAAAGAACCAAACCGATAAAAAAGAAGTCGAGCAGGCTTAGGATGGAAACAAAAAATAGGGAAGAATGGGGCTACCTGACAGCGACTGAAGGAGAGAAGAAAGGCTACGAGCTGAAATGAAGCGAAGAAGGGACGCACCAGGAGCCTCCTGGGTGACCTTCCTCCAGCTGCATCCAGCTCTTCCTGCCCATCAGCTCTCAGTTCACAGCATCGGGGCAGAACTCCTTGGACAAGACCAGGAGACCTTCCAGCCTTGACCGCGGTTTGGAAAACAATCATTACCAGACGCCACAGAGGTGCTCAGAGCACATCCTGCTGCTGTCCAGAGCCACTGGAACATTCTAGTTTGTTGGCCTCAGATGACACCAATAAACTTTCTAGAACTGGGCTGGGGATGGAGCTCAGGGGTAGAGCACCCACCCTGGGTTCCTAGCACCTCAAAAACAAACAAAAAAATATTTCTGAGAGAGAAGAGGGCTGTCTATTTTACAAGCTGGAAACCAAAGCAAAGGAATACAAACAAGCCACGGTAGTTATGTGACATTTGAATGAGACGTTGACTTTTGAAACTTAATTTTCTTATCAGTATCCGTCTTCATTTCACTTTTAGATAAACAGCAAAGGCCCACAGTAGGACATTTATCCCTACTATGTGGACAGAATGATCCCATTTGCCCAAGGCTTCCATTTTCTTGGAGGACCAAAAGTAACACTACTGGACACTTAGCCATACTACAAAGAATTTTTTTTCAGTTCCATAGTAAACCTAATTTGAGAAAATAAAGGATACACATGTTCCGTTGCCAATCACTCAAATCCATGATGTTTGTTCCAAGGAGTACCTACAAACAGGTTTTAGATTCTGTGGTTCCCCAAAATGGAGTCTTATCAGTTAAAGTCAATGGGCAGACCCTAAGGACTATAGCCCTAAAGGAAATGCCCAGAAAAAATGAACCTGGGGTGCACAAGGCCCTGGGTTCAATCCCCGACACCGCCAAAAAAAAAAAAAAAAGAACCCAGCACCACAGGGTGGTTGGAAGGCACATGCCAACCCTTGTGGAAGCCTCCTACCTGAGCCTGCTTCGTCACTGTACAGAGGAGGACCAGACTGCTCTCCTTCCCAGCTGGCCCTTGGCTGGCCTCTGAGCGTGTCCAGTTCCCAGAACAGTGGAAATAGAGTGGCTTCTGCCATAGAGACCTGCTTTCCTTCTGGGAGTGTGGAATTTGGGCAGAAGCCGTACAGGCTTCCCATGTGACCAGACCTCAGTGAAAACATCAGTGCTGTAAGTTCACCATGCTCACTGCTGTCTTCACAGCCGGAGGACAAGCAGGCCAGCATGCTCCCAGGATGGACAGCCCAAGAAAGCCCACACGAGGCTCCTCCAGAGGTTCCCCAGGACCTGGCTGTGTATCCCAGCCATGTCACTATAATAAACCTTAAGCCATGATTACAACTACATGCCCAGGGCTGTTCAGGGATGGTCCTAAGGTCTCCGAGACACAAAACTCACGTAACTTTCCAAAATATTTTAAACTGGTAAGATACAAAATTGACCACTGTACCTGTTTTTAGGTGTACAGTTCCGAGGCATTACGCATATTCACTTTTTGTTCAATCACCATAGACATCTATTTCCATATCCATCTCTGTAACTTTTACTTTACACTGGACTCCTCCAACCCGGACTCCCCACTCCTCCCTCCCCCACCCACGGTTCTACTTGTCTATAAATTCGACTACCAGGGGCCTCACCTAAGTGGAGCCAGTGTTTCTTTTTGTGACTTATTTCACTTCACATAATACCTCAAAGCCTATCTATGGCATGTGACAGAAGTTCCTTTTTAAGGATGACCTTGTGGTGTGGATCTAGAACAAAAGCTGATGTATTGAAGACTTGGTCCCCAAGGCAGCAATGTCCAGGGGTTGGGTGAATTAACCCATCTGATGGTTTAATAACTGGAATGGACTACTGGAAAGTGGGGAAGCGAGGCAGCAGGAACAGGGGTGGAGGAAGTGGTCACCGAGGCAGTACCTTTGGGAACTACATCTTTTTTTTTTTTTTTAAAGAGAGAGAAAGATAGAGAGAATCTTTTAATATTTATTTATTTTAGTTCTCGGTGGACACAACATCTTTGTTTGTATGTGGTGCTGAGGATCGAACCCGGGCCGCACGCATGCCAGGCGAGCGCGCTACCGCTTGAGCCACATCCCCAGCCCGGGAACTACATCTTGTCCCCTGACCCTTCCTCACAGTTTCACAGCTGCCAGGAGCTGAGTGGATTTTCTCGGTCGAGCCCTCAGGCCACGACATTTCTGCCCTGGAGCCAGCCAACCTTGGATAGAAACCACAGGCCAAAAGAAATCTTTCCTCTCTAAGTTGTTTGTCAGGTATTTTGGTCACAGTAACAAAAAAGCTAACACAGATGAATGACATATCACACACCTTTACCCCTCATCTGCTGGTGGGGACTCAGATGTTTAACTATTAATTGGAACTTGTTTTTGAGAACTTACAGACTCCCCCTATAGATTTACAGCGGGTGGGTCAACAAATACATCAGGAAAGAAAACCTGTATATGAAAAGCCAGAGTCCATGTTTAAAGGTTTTCAAGTTTCTGGGTGTGGAAAATTCCGGAGGGCAGCGGGGGCTGGGGGACATCTTCAAACTCTGAGAAAAACATTCATGGTTCAACAACAGTTTTAAGCTGGGGGCATAACTGTGTGTAAAGCACATGCTTAGCATGCAGGAGGCTCTGGGTTCCCCCTCTAACAGCAAAATGTAAATAATTAAACAAATAAAAGTCGCTCCCGGTCTGAGCCAAATGTCAGCATATGGGACATGAATCTGCAGTAACAGCAGCACACCCATATACACACCCCCACGCAAGGCCAAGCTAAAGCATGGAGATAAAAATCATTGACAGAATGTATAAGACAAGCACTTAAAAAATTAAACTCTTTATTTCATTGTCACATTTCCTTTGTAAATAACTAATGCTGAGAATTTAAAAGATGGCCTTCGTGTTTTAGGTTATCTAAAGAGTTCCCAATTTATTCACACTATAGATACACAAAAATGGAGTAAAAACAAAACAACCCTCATCCCCCCCCCCAAAAATAACAGGAGTACAGAACTTAAAGTGAGCAGCACAGCACACAGCAGGGAGCAGCCAGGGAAGTGGGCACTCACTTCACTTCTGGGGCAACCACCGCCAGGGACCCTACAAGCGGTGAGGCATGGCTTCCCTGGGTTCAACAAGCTGCTCACAGAGCCTGCTCCTCGCCCTCTGCCAGCACAGCCTTGCAGCTCTACTAGGAGCCAACAGGGCAAGGGCCTGGGAGAGGAGGGGCTTGGGAATGCCCCCCGACATGAAAGGCTCCTGTGACCAGCAGCCTGGCCCCAACAACCCAGCCCTTGCACTCAGCCCTGTGTAACCCTCTCCCCTTGGGCCAAGCGACCTGCCAAAGGAATGCAGGAGACAGAGCTAGGGAGGAGGGCGTGACTTTCGCCTTGCTCCCTCTGGCTCTGGTCTTCTGTAGCAAGGGTGACTGTCATATGGTGAGCTGCCCCAAGGACAGCTCCACAGAAGGAAGATGGTCTCAGCCAACAGCCACATGAAACCAGAGACCTCGGTCCAGGAGGTGGTGAAGAACTGACTCCTGCTGGCCTGCCTGAGCCAGCTGAGCATCTCCCCCAGGGGCCAGGCAGCTTCCAGACTTCCATGGCAAGGGCACCGAGGACCCAGCTCAGAACCCTCAGACTCACAAACTGAGGGATAATAATAGGTGTGTGTTACTGTAAGCGCCTAATTTTGGGGGTAATTTATTATATTGCATTAGAAAACTAAAATAATAATGAGCTTAGAAAGAAAACAGATCGTTGTCTTAAGTCCGAAAGAAATAGCATTGACAATACAGTTTTTCCACAGGGTCAACTAAACCAAGGGAGGGTAGGTCAACTACAAGAAGAGCAGCCTCACAACCTGGAGCCTGAGAGCTAGCGCTCCACCAAGAGACTTCTCCCAGAAGTTCACCTAATTGCAGGGTCTCCGACTCCCTGCTGCTGTCACCAAACACGTGGAACTTCTTCAGATTTTTCAAACCAACAATAAAATTTCTAAATTTCTGGCAGGTTTAAAAAAAAATAATGGAAAACAAGGTATTGTGAGCTGGGGATGTGGCTCAAGCGGTAGCGCACTTGCCTGGCATGCGTGCGGCCTGGGTTTGATCCTCAGCACCACATACAAACAAAGATGTTGTGTCTGCCCAGAACTGAAAAATAAATATTAAAAAAATTCTCTCTCTCTCTTAAAAAAAAAAAAAAGGGTCAGAGAATGTTAAAAAAAAAAAAGAAAGAAAGAAAACAAGGTATTGTTTGTCCCTGGGCTGGACTCACTTGTCATGCAGCTCTTCATTGGTACAGGTGAGCATCACTGAACGCGAGCTCTCCCACCTCCAGAACAGGCAAGGGCAGAGACAGAAGGCACTCGAGGGGCTGCCAGCCAGAGAAGGGAAGTGCCTGCTGACAGGTGGGGGGCTTCTTTTTGGGGTGAGGAAAATGTTCTCAATAATGGTGATGGTTACCAAATATACTTTTTTTCAAAAAAGCACATTAAATTGCACATTTTAAAATGATGAATTTTATCATTTCTGAATTACATCTCAATTATAAAAATTTTAAGTGAGTTCTTATAGAGGAAAGTTAACATTTCCACTTAAATATTTTCCTATATAGTTACATTCCACTCTCAGACATGTGACTGAATGGCATCTGCTATAAGATCACACTTAAGTGACAACATCCTCCCCCCAGCTCAGACCTCCCTCTAGTTTTTCTTTCTTTCTTGCATTGTATCTTTCAGGAAAATTACTAACAAAAGTCTTCCCCTAGTAAATGTGTTTAACTCTTCTAAACATGGTTTTGTTTGCTGTGATGTTATATTCTTGTTTTAAGACTTGAGATAATTTTTCCTCATTTTATACTTAATTGGCCACTCCTTGGTATGAACTATGAGGTAAGAAAATCTAAGAAACATTTAATGAGGAAAAACCTTTTCAAAGTTAGACTAAATGTCAGCACATCACTATGTGAATGTCATTCCAGATACACATGTGGAGAGGCATATGTTTCCGTTACTATGTAGTAAAACACACTCCAGACCCAGCAAGAATCCTTATACGACATATGGCCTGGAATTCTCAAGGCAGAAGAATACATTCACACTCTATAATGTGATTGTAAGGAGCTTGAGATAGATAAATGGAAAGCAGTATCGCTGAACAATTATAACTGATAGATTTCCCTTATTACACTGGTTTTAAATAACTAATATCTGTAAACTTTAATCCAGCTCCAGCTGGTTCAAGCCTGAACTCTTTGATTCTCCACACTCAACATCATCCACTGTACTATGAAGACAACTGAAGTCACTTCAACTGTGCTCTGGAGCTGTGCAGCCTCCCACGGGTACCTCATCAGATACTTCGGTAGTCAGAGCCCCGGGCCACAATGGCAGCAGCGTCCCATTCCACAGTGAAGAATGAAATAGTTCCAAAAAACCCAAATACCACCATGACCAGGAGCTGCCAGTGAAGGAGAAGGTAGTTGCTGTAGAAAAAGGCCACAGCCGCGCAGATGGACTACGAGAAAAACAAGACAAATTACACAGGCACACAGAGGCCTGCCCAGCCTCACAATCAGCCCCACCCTGCAGACCCAAGGGATGCCTGTGACTGGCAGATCTTGCTCTCCTTCCCGCAGTTGCCAACTCACCCCCGGCCCCCCGAGAGTGGGTCACATCAGGGAAGCCATCTCTGCTGTTAAAACAGCCCTGTGCAGAGTAAGAAGGACCCTGTCTGCAAGGTGTGCAAGTGGGGTTCTGGCTCCAGGGATGGGAACCTCCAATCCGAGCAGTAAACCAGAACATGAAATCTCTCAGCCAGCCAGGGAATCGTGCTGCTCAGTGCTTCCCACTTCCATGCAAATCCTTTTAAAGGATATCCCCGGTTTTCACTTAAAAACCACAAGCTAGTAACCACAGCAAACCAGGCGAAGCTTAAAGGAAAAGGCCCAAGGGGTTACCTGAACAAACTTAAAGATGGCAAAGGCCGGTGCACTGTCTTCAGAATAGAGAAAGCCTAAGATGCTAAGCAGCTGGGTGTTGAAGCAGCTGTCCCCAAGACCCAACAGAAAACTGCAGAGAATGGCAACTTCTTTGCTGAAAAAAATAAATTTACTATAAGTAGTATCAACATTGCTAAAGCCACTTAAATTCTAAAAGCAACCCACCCAAAAAAGCATTTAATCTTCAAGTTTTAAAAACACAGAAATAAGAATGAAAAATATCAGAACTTATAAGGTCTCTTTCTCTCTCTCTCTCTCTCTCTTTTTTTTTTTTTTTGCAGTACTAGGATGGAACCCAGGGCCTCACACATACTACGCAAACCTCTACCATGAGCTGCACACCAGCCCCTATGTTAGAATTTATACAGTAAGAAGTTATGCTCAAACTTGCAACCCTTCACATTCTAGCAAACCTGGTCCTATTACTGATTTGGAAAGGAGATACTTTTTTTAGGCTAGGCTCCCTTTGGATTTGGGGATCTAGACATCAATATCTGCATTTATAACGAATTAAGAGCTGAATGCAGTGACTGGAAGTCAGTTCAGTGGTAGGCCACTTGCCTTGCACAGACCAGGCCTTGCAAGGGAAAAACAAAAAAGAGTTGAAGTGCAGGCCACGGATACCCTCAAAACTGTCACAGATCACTCTGAAAAACGCGATAGCCCACCCAACTCATAGACTCCCTCACTGCTCTTTATTTTTCCTCCAGGCCCTAACTTTGAGGTATTTCACTGCTCAAAATGCAGAGATAAAATTCAGATCAGACATTTCTATGCTCCCTCACAGATAAAGAAGATTTATTGGGGGGTAAAGGTTAAAAGCAACCATTGCAAAAATAACTTATGATCCTCTATGGATTCCTACTCAAACTCATTCTGGCTATGGCAACTGACCTCACAAAGATAACAAGTTCTGAAGAGGGCTAAGTGTCCGGTTCAAGTGTCTATCCATCCCTTCCCTCCCACTGCCCTCAAATCACCAAGCAACAGTAGTTACATACCTGGACCTGATGTAAGCATTGCTGTTTGTTCCCTCCACAGGGGCAATTGGGGCGTCTCCAGGCATGTTGAGAAATATTAAATAAAAAGCTATAAAGTGCACGAGGATGCCCAAAAGCACAACTGGATTTCTACCAAAACGATTATTCTTGCTCAGCAGGCCAAAGAGGCTTCCACCTACAAATCAAGGTGGCAGAAATGTTACTGACATTACCAACACATCAAGTGACTACTCATGTTAGAATCCAGAAGCCATGGAATACACAATCTCAAATGTCCAGTGTCTTCCCCCAAACCCAACCCTTCAGCACTTGCAGGCAAAGAGGACTACCAAACACCAACTACCATAACAAAACAGCTGCTAGAGAGGATCTTGAATACAAATTCCTAATACAAAGAAATGGTAAATATTTGAGGTGATGTATATGTCAGCTACTCTGACCTGAACACTGCTGGAAGCAGCAAATGAATCCCTGCTTTGAACTCCACAGCCTTGGACAGCTAGGTGGATCTTTTGGGTCTCTCAGTAAAATGGTGCTGACAGACACACTCACTTGCAGGTAGCTGCTGTTACTGGGTCAGAGTCCATGCCTGATGTGGAATTTGTGGGTTCCGCAGCTTTGAATTCAGATGCCCACTACTCTGGGGTGAAAGAGATACCTGTTCGCCTAACTAGCCTTGTGGCACCAGCTGCCTGAGGAAGAATTACTGCGCCAGTGGTTTTCCACGATCGGGCCAGCTTCCCCACGCCTCTCCTCTGAAGACCCTTCCTCACAAAAAACTCCTCTGGTGTGTTTCACTATAAATAAAGAATTCGTGAGCTTTTCCCCTTTGTTAGGATCAGTCCCATCAGGTCTTTTCCACCCATCAAGTCCCTGCTTTTAATAAAAATATTTTCTGTCTTTTGCTTTATTTCTTGGTATTACTTTTCAGCCTTTCATTTCCAGCTGGCGCACACCTCTGAGGGTTACTATTCCCTCCCCACTCAGGCCGCAGGTGACAAAACACTACACATGGCACACATGTAATGAAGTGTTCAATACCCAGTACCAAAAAACCAGCACTATACCTCAGGAGACTTATCAGTGCACTAGACTCCTGGAAAGTCCAGAAACAGGATCAGTCACAAACAAAATCCCCATCTGTGACGAAGCATATGTCAGATCGCTGGACAAGGCCAGTGCTCTTAATACATGGCACCGTAGCCATCTGGAAAAAAATAAAGATGCCCAAGAACAAATCCCAAATAAATTGGAGATCTAAATCTAAAAACTAAAGGATGGATGGGCCTTGTGTGTCTCTAGAAGGGCAGCCGCGGAACAAGCCCCGCACTACCCAGCAGCACTCCCCCTGAGAATGCACAGCCTCCGTGACTATGAGGAGGCCTGCGATGCACACAGAAGGAAGACCACAGCATCTTCAGAAAGGGGAAATGCCTCAACATATCAGCACCGTAAGACAAACCTGGTCCCAGTTAGCAGAAGACACAAAAGCTCAACACAAATCCTGATCCTGGGCTAACCTACGCAAGGAAGGGAAATGCTCTGCGGGACAGCCCTGCCTCAGACCCCACAACTCCATGCTGCCCCTCGGGCTCCACTGGCCTTCCTGGCCCTCTTCCCTCTGAGCCACTCTTCTGCAGTTCCCTTAGACTTCAGAAACAGGCCTGGCTGATGAGCATTTTCATGACAAGAGACGGAAACCATCCCCAAACAGCTGAGAGCCTCTCAGAACAGATCACCCCTCAATGACAACACCCCCCAAGTGGTAGCAAGCCAAAGCTGCCCCCACCAGCAGGTATAACCTTCTCACAATGTGAGTCAAACCACCCACTCACGCGCTGGGTGATGACATTCCCAGAGCCTCAAAAAACCCGTCCTGAGATATTGGTCAACCAGACCTCGCCTGGCTCCATGATCTACTTTGCCGGCTACACAATCCTCCAGCCCCTGCCTTGCTCTCTGCTGTATAAAACCACAAAGTTCCTGTAAGTCCTTTGAGGACAGGTCTTTGGTGTCTGTACCCTACCTCTGCTCTTCCTGGTGTGGCCATGCTGACTGAAAACTCTTTTCCTGCCCCTTACCACTGTTGCTCATCTCTTTGACTGGCATACTGGACATGTGGCAGTCTGCTGGGACCCTGGGGCCCAGGCCCTCACTCCTCAAGGACTCCAGTAATGCTCAAGGATATTAGCCCAGATTATCCTACCAAAGAAAAATCCCACCACCAGCAGCTGTACTGTGGTGATGAGAGAGAACCCCTGTCTGTTCAGGAAACACACACTGAATACCAGGGACAAACTGTTGTGGTGTGTCTAACACTTACCTCCTGGGGCTCAGACAAAATCACACATAAGAAAAGTAAGAGAGGGCTGGGGATGTAGCTCAGAGTTGGAGACTTGCCAACTCTGCATGTATGTGCAAGGCCTGGGTTCAAACACTAGCACTGTAAAAATTTTAAAAAAGGATGAAAAAAAAGAAAAAGACAAAGAGCTGGGAAGAGAGAATACGTGATGTTAACGTAAAGTGCTTGTCGAAGGTGAATCTTGTTAAAGGATATTCCAGTGGTTTCTGAACTATTTATTTATATTTTTGGCAATTTCTTGCAAATGTGGAATTATTTTTTCAAAAAGCTAGCAGACTACCTACAGCAAGAGTGTGCTACTTCACGGGCACTGGATGGCAGAGGCTTAATGACCTCTCCTATAGCATCCCCAGACATCTCACGGGTGGAGGTGGCACCTCTCACTCCATGCCCAAGATGCCCCTCCAGCCCACAAGCCCCCCGAGCATCACTGGACACACTACCACTCGGAGACCTCCCTTGCATATCAACACACTGGGTCTTAGTGGACTGCTCCAAGCCCAACTCCCACAGCATTTGTCCCCCTTCCTCACCCTGCCCTCCTGGTGGTACACTGCCAACACGTCCTCCAAATGTTCTCTCAACACACACAACTGTCATTTACTTGGTCCTGTCCAGGTGCAGGTAGTAAAGCAGGGAACACAGTCCCCAGTCTGCTTTCCCCACAGCACTTCTCACTGACAAAGTGAGTTTTGTTTCTTTGCAGGCTGTGTTCTCCCCCAGGAACACAAGCTCCACGTGGGCAGCTTTGCTTTTGGTTGACATGTGGATGCACAACAAAGAGTGGCTGAACTGGTAAGTCCCTCATGTCTGATACTACATCCAAGGCACTGCAAGTGGGAGCAGATCTTAGTTGAATGAGTAATAAATTAGTATGGTGTTGTATAATAAAGATATGCATTGCCTTGGCCTCCAGTTCTGGGCACAGAGATCCTAAATCACTTGGAATTTCCTTAGTGGTAGGAGTGTTTTCTGTTATGCACAAAGAGACCTTTCCAACCACACTCGAGTTTACACTAATGAGGTAACTCTTAGGGAAGGAGGGTTGGTCCTAGACACAACTTCACGATGGGGACTGGCTGCCAGAAAGACACAGCCCCATTAGAGGTTTAGAACTTCCAGGACTCTCACCCACCATAGCAGGGAAGGGAGCGGGGAAAGGGAGTGCATTCATTCGCCAACAGCCAATGGTTCAATCTGCTAGGATTACATTAAATCTCCATAAAAGCCCCTCGACAGGGCTGTGGGAGCTTCCTAGCACACCCACAAGCTGGAAAGCTCTATGGGGACAGTCTCCTCCACTTGGGGGCCCTTTCAGACATCACCCTTGTTCCAGATCATCTGGCTGTGCATTTGTATCCTTTACAATACTAAAAATTGCATATATCAACTACAGCATTTTCCTGAGTTCTGTATTTTTAGAAAATGATCAAACTAAAGGGAGGTGGTAGAGAACCTCCAAACTAGTAGCCAAATGAAATGGAAGTGCAGTCTAGTGAAGGTGATCAGTGGGACTGAATCGTAAGCAGAATGTTTTAGGAGACCACTGTTTAGGACTAAGCTCCTATACTGGGGCCCAAGAGACCAGACTAAAAATGACAGTGGAGCCACTGATGGTGAAGTTCCTTGCTCTGTATGACCTTCTGAGAATCAGATAACAGCCAAATTCCCAAATTTGACAATGAAGTTTCCTGCTTCAATCCTTATAAGATGCAACCTGAAGTTAACATCAATCAGTTATTTTTTATGGTTCTGACTCCCTGTCCCTGTCTTACGAGGAAAGGTATTTTAAAATGTCTTTTTCAAGCCCATCTCTATCCATACAACCAACTTCTCTGCTCAGCCCACCGGAACTTTTATTCTATGCCATGGAATACAGCATTGCCTGATACTAGATGGAAAATAAGGCCAATGAGATCTTCGCGCTGTTGTTAATTTTGTCCTTCAATAAGAATTTGATGCTCACTCCAGGTAGTTAGTGTCAGAATAGGATCAAATGGCTGGACACACAGCTGGTTTTAGAGAGAACTAGAAGGTCAGGGATTCTGAGACACTCTGCATAAGTATTTTAAGAGGAAAAATTGGGAAAGACCACGTTTGCTTATTTATGATTTCCAACCTGTGAATTATTTGGCAAATGTTTTATAATTTACTTACCTTAGAATACTGATAATAGAAAAATAAAACACACCTGTTTGAGTAAAAGTAGAGAAAACAGAATTCAAGTACACAGAGGTGAAGTTTACTTAATGTTTCTATTTTAAGTACACTTGGTATTTTTAATGCAAAGACTTAAAAAAAAAAAAAAACCACTCTCTCTCTCTCTCTCCCTCTCTTAAAAATAAATAAATAAAGAGCATGTAATATTAAAAAAAAAAAAACCAACCTAAAATTTCTCCAATACCAATGAAGATTCCAGAAAGTCCAATGAGGCTTTTCTCTTCTGTTCCAAACCTGTTTATAGCACCAATGCAGGTTCCATAAACACCAGAGAAGAAAGTCAATTCCAGACCTTTAGGGAAAGAAATCAAGATTTAATTTTACATTCACTTTCTCCTTTTCCATTTTTTATGTCTAATACTATCGTAAATTCATTGAGACTGAAATGTTACTGCCCAAGGAGAGCACAATTCTGTGCTACATAACTGATGAAAGGGAATTAGTAACATACTATGGATGAAATGCTTGTGCCCGGCAAATGACCTGTTGCCACCCCAATCCCCTAAGCACGACGGAGACTGGCCTTTGGGAGGTAACCGTGTCAGGAGGGTAGAACCCACAGGACGGGTGAGTGCCCGTATATGAAGAAGGCAACAGAGCACCTGATTCCTGTCCACTTTGTCAGCCACATGAACACCCAGCAGGAAGACAGCTGTATAGTTCTAATTTTAGTATTTGTGCTGCCAAAGCGAGCATGTCTACTGTTCTTAAACACACAGTAATGTCCAGGTTCAATCCCCAGCACACTGCCCCGCCACAATAATGTTTTAATTAAGACCTTTTTTTTCTAGGAAAAGAAAATTAGGGTAAATCCTTAAAAGACCTCCATTCTTTAATGCTACAAAATCTTAAATGTGAGTTTTAAAGATGTTTAATAAAGATGTTTTATGAGACACCTAAAATTAAAAGTAGCCAGGATGGTGACACATGCAGAAAGATCAAAAGGCAAGAGGCCAAGCCTGGTGCAGTGGCATACGCCTGTAATCCCAGCGACTCAAGAGGCTGAGGCAGGAGGATTGCAACAGCCTCAGCAATTTAGTGAAGCCCTAAGCAACTCAGCAAGACCTTGTCTCAAAATAAAAAATAAAGGGCTGGGGATGTGGCTCAATAGTTAAGCGCCTCTGGGTTCAATCCCTGGTACCAAAAAATGAAGTTAAGAGGCCAGCCTGGGCAACTTAATGAGACCCTGACTCAAATAAAATAAAATGTGAAGAAGGGTTGGGGAAGTAGCTCAGGGATAAGGTGCTTGCTTAGCACATGTGAGACCCTGGATTTCATCCCCAGTGGGGAATGAAGTATTAACTGGCACTCCAACACTTTCTAGAAGAAAACAGATTTCCTCATTGTCCTGATGACATAAGAGTGCTCCACATGGGACACACCACATCACCACCTGCTTCTATTTCATTACAAGGGATCTTAGTGCACATAAGCTAGAGGTTTTCTCCTGGCTGTTTTCTGTCATGCGGTCCCTGCCTTAGAGTGGCTGGTTCTGATGAGCTCTGAGTCCTGGCTTTCCTGCCCTCGTGCGGAAGCCTTCTCACTGAATTTGGGCTGGCCTTGTGATTTGTTGTCACCAAGAGAATGTACTGGAAGTACATGCTGGAGACCTACGGGAAGGTTTGCTAGTCTTCCCTGATGTGTTTTTGGGGCCTTTGGCCACTAGTAAGTCTGGCTCTCCTGCCACACTACAAGGTCCTATGGAGGGGGTCATGCAGATGGACAGGCCCTGAGACAACAGGGAGACAGAGAGACTGCCCAACACCATCTCTCACTGACCATGGCAAAGCACTACACATGCAAATGAAACTGGTCTTGGAAGGCCTATCCCCAGCCATCCTCTGAAAGCAGCCACAAGGGACCCCAAGCCATCAATGTCATCAGAAAAGCCACCCTGCTAAGCACAGCCAAAGCACAGAAGTCTGAGAAAAAACTGCATGGCTTCTGTTTTCAGTCCTTATAGTCATTACGCAAACAAAGCAAAGTGAAGCGGCAGTTCCATTACCTGTATAAGCAGTAGTGACACTGAGAAGGAGCATCTCCTTGGTGACACACAACTTGAGAGACTTCTCTGAAAAGAAGAACATTCAGGAGTACTTAATAGCTTTTTTTTTTTTAATTAATTTTTTTTATTGGTTGTTCAAAACATTACAAAGCTCTTGACATATCATATTTCATACATTAGATTCAAGTTGGTTATGAACTCCCAATTTTACCCCAAATACAGATTGCAGAATCACATCGGTTACACATCCACATTTTTACATAATGCCCTATTAGTAACTGTTGTATTCTGCTACCTTTCCTATCCTCTACTATCCCCCCTCCCCTCCCAGTACTTAATAGCTTTCCATCAATAACCAAGAGCTGTGCAATGTCCACCCAACTTATAATAACCACACTGTCCTGAATCCTTGTGTGTCAGGGTGAGAATAAAAGCAATCAGAAATACCTTATGTCCTGAGCATATGTGAAGAAGTACTAAAGACACACTGAAAGGATACTGCAGGAGTACTGGAATATGGTCAGGATCGGTGTGATAAGAAATTTTAATCAATCATTTTCAAGTATTTCCAGGAGAAAATACATAATCAAAATAAGGTTTAAAACAACATTTTTTGGGGAGGAGGACGGTGTTACTGAGGATCAAACCCAGGGCTTCATGCATTTTAAGCAAGTAAGTCTACCACTAAGCTATATCCCCAGGCCGTTTTTTAAATTTTATTTTGAGACATGGTCCCATTTAAGTTGCCAAGGCTAACCTGGAACTCACAATCTCCTGCCTCAGCTTCCTGAGTAGCTAGGATGCCAGGCCTGTGCCACCATGCCCAGCATTAAAACAACAATAAAAAAGAAAGAAAAACACTAGCAAAGCATATTCACTTAAAATAATCAGAAGATTTAGTTAACAAGCAGAAATTCTAACATATTATGTAGTGTGATACTATGATAATGGGTCACACATCATTACACATTTGTCCAAACCCACAGAATGTACACCAAAATTAGCCCTACTGTAACCATGGTCTTTGAGTGATAATATGTCAGTGTAGGTTCATTGATTATAACAAATGTACCACTCTAGTGGGAGCCAATAATGGGGGAAGCTATGCATGTGTGGGGATGGGGGTTAAAAACTATACTTTCTGTTCGATTTTGTTACGAACCTAAGCCTACTCCCAAAACCACACAAACAAATAATCTATTTGCAGAAATTGATGAACTGATCCTAAAATTTATATGGAAATTCAAGGGAAACACAAAAGCCAAAACAATCTCGAAAAAGAACCAAACTAGAAGACCCCCACTCCCAAATGCACAGCAAGGAACACAGCACGGCACTGGCACACAGGCACGTATCCAGATAAGTCCTTACATCCACACTCATTTTCAACAGAGGCAGCAGCGTAATTCAGAGGAGGGAGGTGGGGGAGAATAACTGGATATTCACACGCAAAGGAATGACACTGCACCACTCACAAAGAACTCAAAATGGAGGCTAGACCTAAATGTAAAAAACGATAAAACTCTTAGAAGAAAACTTAGGAGTAAACTTTCATGACCAAAATCAGGCAAAAACTTCTTAGGACACCAAAAACACATATAATAAAAGAAAAAAAACTTTGAAGCTATTTTTTAAAAAATATTTTTGAGTTGTAGATGGTCCCACAATACCTTCATTTTATTCATTTATTTTATGTGGTACTAAGGATCGAACCCAGTGCCTCACACATGCTAGGCAAGTGCTCTACCACTGAGCCACAACCCCAGCCCCTAGTAAATTTTTTTTAAAATCAAAACCATAATATCACCTCACACCTGCTAACCATGGCTATTATTAAAATATAACAAATGCTGGAAAGGATGTGGAGAAAAGGGCACCCTGTACGCTGGGAGGGTAAATTAGCATAGCCATTATGGAAAACAGCGTGGAGGTTCCTCAAAAAATTAAAAAGAGGGGCTGGGGATGTGGCTCAAGTGGTAGCGCGCTTGCCTGGGTGTGTGAGGCACTGGGTTCGATTCTCAGCACCACATAAAAATAAGGACATTGTGTCCACCTAAAACTAAAAAATACATATTAAAAAAAAAAAAAGTTAAAAAGAGAACCACCACATGACCCAGCCATCTCACTTCCTGGTATATACCCAAAGGAGATGAAATCAGCATCTTGAAGAAACATCTGTATCCACGTTCACTGCAGTGTCACTCACAACAGCCAACACGCCGAAAGAACCAAGTAGAAAACACAGACACTAGATTACCAGGCAGCCTTAAAAAAGGACACCCTGACACATGGGACAACACAGTCGAACCGTAAGATACCATACTAAGGGAAACGATTCAGACGCAGAAAGACAAACATCGCGTGGCCCCACTTATATGTGGAGTCTTTTTTTGTCCATGGCTGATCGGGTAGGAGAAAACGAAAAGCTGCTAATTAAAGAGTATGAGGTCAGGCGTGTTGGCCATGCCTGTGACCCCATCAGTTTGGGAGGCTGAGCCAGAAGGATCCTGAGTTCAAAGCCAGCCTCAGCAACTTAGCAAGTCTGAGCAACTTGGCAAGATCTTGTCCCCAAATAAAAACTAAAAAGGGTTGGGGATATGGCTCAGTGGTTTAGCTCTCATGGGTTAAATCCCCGGTACAAAACTAACTAACTAACTAACTAAATAATTAGTATTGAGTTCCAATTAAGCAGGGTGAGTAAGCTTCTGGTAAGCTAAGGTACAACTTGGTGACTTCCGTTAACAGTATTGTATACTTGAAATTTGCTAAGAGAGTAGATGCCAAAAATTCTCATCAAACACATACAAAATAATGTGATAATTACACAAGGTGATAGACATGTTAATTACCTTGATTGTGGTTATCAATTTCACAACATATACTTATAAGAAAACATATTGTATGCCACACATATACGTTAATTTTTAATTTATCAAATATACCCCAATAAAACTAGAAGAAAAAATCTAAAACTTGTGCTTTAAAACATACTATCAAGAAAATGAAAATCCACACACCATGGTAAAAATTACTTGCAAATCATACATACGAGACACTTTTAAGTAAAATATATAAAGCGTTCTCACAACTCAGTAATAGACAATCCAATTTAAAAATGGTAAAAGAACTGAGTAGACATTTCTCCCAAGAAAGATACATACAAATGCCCTAAAAAGCATGTGAAAATATGCTCAACATCATTAGCCAGATGATGGTGCAAATCAAAACCATAATGAGCTATCACTCCACACTACTAGGAGAGCTTAGTTAAAAAACAGGAAATAGTTGCAAGAATGTGGAAAACCTGGCTCTCTCATTCACTGCTGGTGGGAATGTAAGAAGGGACAATCTGGCAATTCCTACACAGGTGAGCTTCAGGAGACCACATGAGCAGGACTTCACTACTACAAGAAATTGGAAAACATCCATCCACACTAAAGCTACACAAACATTCATAGCAGCATTATTCATGATACCTGATGAACAGAGAGTCACGTTTTAGAATGGACAGTGAAGTAGAAGAAAGAAGTCACAAAAGACACACAGTGTAGCATTTCAAGTACATGAAATGTCCAGAACAGCAACCTACAGATTGAAGGTAATCAATGTCTGCCCAGGGCTATGGATGGGGAGACGGGTGGGAAGGAGAAATGACTGCTAATGGGGATAGGGATTCTTCTTTTTTCTTCTTTACCACATTCATTAATATGAAACTTATTAACCCAGTTTTAATGAAAAGGAAGCTGAACATCAAGACACATTACAAGAATGCAAATGACATAAAACTTTAGGAAGAAAAAAATTTCAGCAACTTAGACTATGTTTCTCATTATATTAGAGATTCTTCTGAAGTGATGAAAATGTTCTATAATTGATCATGGTTGCACACTTTATAAATATCATAAGTTGTACTGAATTTGCACAGGATTTAATCTTTTTTTGGTGGTGGTAGTGAGGTTTGCTAGGGATTGAACCCAGGGATGCTTTGCCACTGAGCTTCATCCCTTGCTCTTTTTATTTTTTATTTTGAGATAGGGTCTCACTAAGTTGCTTGGGGGTCTCACTAATTTGCTGAGGCTGACCTTGAACTTGTGATCCTCCTGTTTTAGCCCCTCCAGTCTCTGGGGTTTGGATTTAATGAATTTCTTACATGAGCAAATCGTACAACGTATGAATTGTATCTCAACATAAGTTACTAGACCTCCCAATCTCATATTGGGGACTGGACCCAGGGGTGCTCTACCACTGAGCCATATCCCAGCCTTTTTTATTTTTCAGACAGGGTATCGCTAAATTGCAGAGGCAGTCCTGGGATTTGTGCTCCTCCTACCTCAGCCTCCTCAGCCACTGGCATTCACCACCAAACCTGGCAAGCTACTCTATTTAAAAAAGTGACACCTAATGACTCTTTTCCAGATTTTCTATGCTCTTTTTAAACAAGAGGAAAACTTACTATTTACACTATTTCTAATTTTTTTTCACATAATAGAATAAATATTTTTGATCATTTGTAGAGATCATTTATTTTTAATATCTCCTAAAGATAACTGCTTAGTGGAATGAGTTATTCCAATGGGCAAAGATATAAATGTTTTTAAGGCTTTGATACTTATTGACAAATCACTTTTCCTAAAGTGATATAAGCACCCATCCTCATTAGCAGTGTGGACTTACGCATGCAAGTGCCCATCTCCCACAACACTGAGAATAATCTCCTTATTTTGTGTGTGTGGGGGTGGGATGGGGTGTCCTTACCATGGATTGAACTCAGTGGGGCACTAGACCACTGAGCCACATCCCCAGCCCTTATTTTATATTTTATTTAGAGAGAGAGTCTCGCTAAGTTGCTTAGTGCCTTGCTGTTGCTGAGGCTGGCTTTGAACTTCCTGCCTCCTGAGCAACTGGGATTACAGGCGTGCACCACCATGCCCAGCAAGAATGATCTCTTTGAAACTCAATAAAAAGTTTCAATTTGCCCTTCTTGTGGTCAAGCTATGACCAGCTCTAATGGAGCACTTGGGCCTTTCTCAACAGTTCCTAACAGCTCTGCACCACATCCTGCAAGCACTTCCTTGCCTCTTAGGTTATGTTGATGGACTGCAGTTTAGCATTTTATTAACAAAAAAGCAAGTCTTTTGGGCTGGGGCTGGGTCTCAGTGGTAGAGTACTTGCCTAGCATGTGTGAAGCCCTGGGATTGAAACTCAGCACCACATTTAAATACATAAAAGATCCACCGACAATATATATATATATACATATACATACATATATATATATTTTTTTTTTCCCTTTATTGTTTGGTTTATCTGCTTACAAGGCTATTCTCTACCCAATTATTTTCTTCAATTACTTTCATGGTTTGCTTTTTAAATTCAGTCTTCAAATGGTATAAGGTGAGCATAGATTCCTGTATTTTCCTATAGTCAACTGCCTGAACTTGCCTGAGACCTACTTTTACTGAATCTGTATCACTACTTGGGGGTGGAATTGAGTCTAGACTGTTCCACTAGCCTTCTAGTTCCCTGTTTTCAAATTAATTCATAATAGTTTTAGAGTTAATCAGGGTAAGTCTCTCACTTCTGACTCTCTCAGCTGTTTTCAGATATTTATTCTAACAGAAGAACTTTAGCATGATTTAGTCAAGAGCAAAAAATACAGTTGCACCAAATGTTCTAGAAACGCATTACACTTACATTCAGTTCAGGAGTTGAGTGCTTTTGGATGATAAGTAGGAACCTTCTTTGCACAGCCTCCTTCAGAGCACCAAGTGGAGGAGTGTCATGAATGACTGTAGAAGATCACTTAAACCTTCTTTATCCTGTGGCACCTCATGATTCACACTGCCCCAAGGACCCAGGAACCATCCTCTCAATGTGCTTCCCAACAATCCTGGGTGCTCACCTTTGGATGCTGCCCTCTTTCTCCATATTTCAACATCCATTCTCTCACAACCGGGCACTACCACATAAACAATAGCTCCATGATGTAACACACATGGCCCCAGATGTTAGTTCCTCATTTTGGAGAAAGAGCTGAGACAAAGCCTGCCGACTTTCAAGGAAGGACATCCTGAATCTGGCCAACCATCAAGAGCCAACAGAGGGCTTCTGTGTTTAGGAGCAGGGAGGCTGCATCCAGTAGTCATCACCACCCTTTCTTATCTACATGCTCACCTGCTCACCATGTAAGCCAGCATGGCTTTCTAGGGCCCTGGAAACAAGAAGGGATGCCCCGAAAGGGCCTACTAAAAACATCAACAGTCTTCATCGACTGGTAAATGGCACTTTCTGTGAGTTTGCCTAACCTGAGTCCTTTCCCCCTGATTCCTCTGATCAATAACGGTTCTTGGGGCTGGGGATATAGCTCAGTTGGTAGAGTGCTTGCTTCTCAGGCACAAGGCCCTGGGTTCAATCCCCAGCACCATACACACAAAAAATGTTCTTCTGACAGACAAGTCTCTAGACATTCAAGAGTGAAAGGCAGACTTCAGATGGTGGTGACCTCCCATCCTATAGGACAACCAGGCTATGTCTCACTTAATTACATATGTAGCCTAATTTATAATTATGAATGCACTCCTGAAGGTGCATAAAACAAGCCTGATAAAACCATTCTAATGATACACTCCATACGCAAGCCACCTCCCCTGTCCACAAGGCCCTTTCCAAATATAGGCTACTCTTGGTCAACAGCATGCTTTAAGTCATCTGAGCCAGCCACACATGATCAGATCAAGAATTTGCCATATTCAAGACAACCAATGAAAACAATTGTAAACACTTAAGGGCTACAGGGTCTATGTCACAAGACCCCATGGCCTCTAGTGGGCTGCTCCCTATGGAGAAGAACTGGCACTCTGAGATTCTCCTGCTGGGGAAACAGAGAAGATGAGAAGAGCCAGGGACAGAATTGGAGTTGGATGCTTACTTGCTTCTGAAGAAACCGTAGGCATCCATTATGAGAATCACTGGCTCTGCCTGGCAGTATGGATCCAAATCCTAGAGCAGTAACCACTGACTAGCTGGTCAGTCTTGAGCAAATTATTAAATTTCTCTAAGTCTCAGTTTTATTTTCTCTAAAATACAGAAAACGAGCTACATGTTATAGAACATTTGAAATTACAGAAGGGAAAGCACACGGAGTTCAGCAGCCCGTAGCCAGGAAGAACTCTCAGGGGATGAGAGTGACTGTCCTTACAACTCCCAGGTTGCGGGAGCCACTGTTCTGCTCCGAGGAGTGGCAAGCAGTCCATCTCACCTCCCTGGGAACTCCTAGAGAACTCCCCGCAGCTGGTGAACCCGAGTGCTCTGCAGCCTCCACACACACCTGGCTCAGGTGGGCAGTCATATAATCATTCACACACCTGCCATGTTAGACCTTTATGAGAAGACTAATGTACGCTGAAGCTGCATACCTGGAAAAATGAAAATACTGAGGGATCGTCAATCCAAAGTTACCAGGGAAAGGGGAAAGGCAAACGCTGAAGGTGCTCCTGAACAGTTCTTGAATTTCAGACACAGAAAATACTTACTAAATGCATCTACTGCCTTTGTCATATTGTTCTGGGCAGACCTGAGAAAATAAAAGAAAAGTAAGTTTTTCCCTTGAAAATTAGGAAAACAATAAAAACATTACCCAGATACTAAAACAAAGGTGCTAAGTGGAAATCTCATTTTCATCTCAGTTTGTGAATGTTCTGTCTTCTCCATGGCCTGGCAGATACGTCCAGTATTCCCCAACACTCCTGGCTCCAGGGACTCCTTCAAGCCCCAGGTCCTAGATGCAGACACTGTGTTCAATGTGCCATCCAGCACCTCTGTGTTTTGAACAACGGAAGACAGCTCTTTATTATCATAATAAATTCATTACATACGTTCATGTACCTCCCTTTTAGAAATGTCACTTTGGGCAGAAGAGAAATATACCCCATCTTGCTAGTTAAAAAAAAAAAATAAAAATGATCTTTAAATAGTCAATTTCCCACTATCCCTCCTATAAAAAACTAGGTCCTCAAGACCACTAATGTCCTAGGTGTGACATGGCTGGGATACAGAACAATAATTTGGATGAAAACATGGGTTTTGGAGTAAGAGTACTAGTTTGCCCCTATTAGTCCTGTGACATTAGACAAGTGACTTCATTTCTCTAAGCTTTATTTCCTCATTTGCAAAATAAGGACTCTGCCACTTCCCTGTGGGAGTTAAATAAGATGATGTCATCAAAATAAACTGAGAATAAGATTAAGATGACAGCATTTTCACAAAGATTACCCTACCAGCCAAGTCTACTTCTCCTAGATCTTTAAATATAGCATGTTTTAACCAAGAGGAGTACTTTTTTCTCACCATCAAATTCACAACTTTCCTGGAAGCAAATTCTATGTAGTTTCTGTTACCTGGCAGTGCCCTCAGACCAAAATCTTGTACTTTAGCCCTCAAAATAAGTAAGAACTGACTTATATTCTGCAGACCATTAAAATACAATCAATTCAGCTGCAAATCACTTAGGATTCAATGAGATAGTAAAGAAACTCATTTTACATTTTTAAAAAAATTTTATTTGCTATTGGGAATTGAATCCAGAGGTGCTTTACCACTGAGCTACATCCCCTGCCCTTCCGCAACTCTTGATGCCAACCCATAATGCTATACCCCTTCTCCACTTCATATTTCTATTTAAGATACTAGATGGTTAAGGTATGGGGCTCCTTTTTAGGGTCATAAAAATGTTCTAGCTGGGGCCTGGGGCTGGGGCTCAGTGGCAGAGTGCTCGCCTAGCATGCTTGAGGTGCTGGATTCGATCCTCAGCACCACATAAATATAAAATAAAAATACTGTGTCCACTTACAAAAAACTGAAAAATACTTTTAAAAAATAAAGTTACTGTGTTCACCTACAACTAAAAATATAATTAAAAAAAATGTTCTAGCTGGGCAGGTAGTACACACCACCAGCAGCTCAGGAGGCTGAAGCAGAAAGATCACAAGTTCAAAGCCAGACTCAGCAACTTGGAAGGACCCTGTCTCAAAAAATAAAAAGGGGCCAGGGATGTAACTCAATTGTTAAGTGCCCTTGGCTTAAATCCCTGATACAGAAAAAGTAGTACTATAAAACCGGCTATGCTGAAGAATGCACAATGGTATGAATATACTAAGAAGTGAATTGTATACTCTAAATGGTGGGTTATGTGGCCTGTGTTCTATCGCATTAAAGCTTTTAGGATAAAGCTTATTTCTGTGTCTCCCACCCCACCAGAAAGTAAGCTCAAGAATGCACAAATTTGGTTGTGTTCAATTCTCAATCCTCTGAACAATCCTGGAATAGCAGAGGCACTCAAGTACAGGGGGAAGGGGAGAAGGAGGGACGGAGGACAGCGGCAGGCACCAGCAAAGAAACTCCCAAAGGTCACCCCACTAGCAGGTCCTCAGAGATGCAGACCAAGCATTTGAGATAAAGGACAGACTAGCAGCTCTTGGACATCTTCACATCACTGCTGAAAGGCCTGCACGTGGGATTCTTCAATATCAGTTCCGACTTACACCCTCAATGGCTTCGAACCCCACCAGTGACAGGCAGACTCCTCACCTAGCATTACATGATCTAACGTGAACGCTGTTCTCACCCTCCTTCCAGCATGTGGCACCTATCTGCCCCTCTTCCTCAGCCTGGTTCTGGCAATGGCCGCCCACTGAGCCTCACTCCTCACCAGGGGAGGTCTCAGGGAGCACCCCCAGCCCTCCAGCTCCCCACCCATTTTCTTCCTAACCACTCACGGTGACATTTTCTTGTGTGTGCACTCCCCACCACCCCTTTTAAACTTAAGTCCCATAAGAGAACTTGAGTCTTGTCCACTGCTGTCTCCCTCAGGTTTCCAAGGAAGCCAGCACATGGACAGTGCTACTGGGACAAAAACATGGAGGCTCCAATTTGGAAGACAATTTAAAAAGAGAGAAAGCTAAACAGGCTGAGCAGTAGTCCTAAGAGCTGAACCTTATCACAGGTACACAATCCCCTTCTCTAATACCTATGGTTTGTGCTTAAAAAGTTATGTGCCACTTAACGAGAGAACAGTGTGCTGAGAAACACATCACTAGGCAATTTTAAAAGTGCAAACACCACAGAGTGTACTCACAGGAATCAGGCCAGCTAACCATGTCACTAAGCGATGTCATCCTATGGGACCACCACTGTACCCGTGGCCCACCAATGAACGAAACACTGTTGCGTGGTATGAGGCTGTGCGCAGGCACATGCACACAACACACACATACACACATCCAAACCAAAGTACCACCTCTCCTTTGCTTTAAATAAACTCACTACAAACTTTGAACATTAACTATCTTACAATTGGAAAATTTTAGGCCATTTTGGATTAAAAAGGCAACACACAGAATGCTCAATGCCAATGTTTTAACAATAGATAAAAAGCTGAAAGACAACTTTCCCAATTTATCAATCACAAACAAAGCAAAATGAGGGTGGCAAAGATTAATTTCTCATTTCTCCTTCTCAAACTGAGACATTACTTCAGACAAATTTGCCTGTGATGTTTTAAGTTGCATCACCAATAAAATGTGCTCAGGTAACTTACAAAAACATGGCCACATGCTTGTTTCCCATTTGGACTACTTTTGGGAAAGCACCTACACAGGTCAGTACGAGAATCAGGTACCATAAGCCAAGGGCCGGTGGTGACAAGCAAGTGTTGTTGGCTCTCCTCTCACCCACCCCTCAGGAATCAGAAAGACCCAGAGCTGTACTACACAGACAGAAACCAAGGACAAAGACTGTTTGATATTTCACTTTCTAAGCTCTCATCCTGGCACACAAAAACACACAGGAGGCCCGCAAAATTCAGCAAGGAAACTGGGGCTAGAGATGAGGAAGGAGAGGTTACTGCTACTGTGCAGGGTCACAAGCGTCAGTGGCAAAGCTGGGGGCAGATATGAATCCCCTGTAAAACCTTGCATTGCCTCCCTTCCTCAGATGACCTTTGCCTTCTCCCTCCCTCACCACCCACCCTTATCTCCTTCCTTTCTTTCCTTGAAAAGGCTCCTCTCCTGTTGGCCTGTGGTAACCTTCAGGAGCATCAGATATAGGTCGTGACAAAGCAGGGTGGGTGGTAGTCTCTAGATTAGACAGATTTACTTTAACATGAAAATGAATATCTCCAACATCTTACTCATTCATTTCCATGTCTTGGTCATCAGAAGACTCATCTTCTCCAAGGACATTTTCAGAATCTGGTTTCCGAATGAGAAAGAATAGAACTGTCCCCACAAGACTAATCACTGTCAGAGCAATAAACACAGTTCTTCGGTCACTCTCTAGGGAGAAAAAAGGAGAAAGCAGATAGCATCAACCAGACAATTCCAGAATTTACTGTTATATCTAGGGTTGTTTTTAACCAGTAAAAAGTTTCCTCATTAAATTCTGACTTTAATGCATGAGTAAAAAGTTAAGATAAGGTGATAAATAGGCCACTTTCACCTATGTCTTACAGTTAGAGAAATACTGACAATCCCAAAGAAAACAGTACAAGAATTTACTTGGGTTCTTTTAACCAAAGAAATGTACAGAAGAGGGGCTGGGGCTATAGCTCAGTGGTAGAGCACCTGCCTCGCATGTGTGAGGCACTGGGTTTGATCCACAGGACCACATAAAAATAAATAAATAGATATATTGTGACAATCTACAATTAAAAAATATTTTTTTTAAAAGTATATATATATATATATAAAAAAGAAACAGAAGAAACAACTGAGCTCTCAAGTCCCCTGAAGACTGATCTTACACCTGTCCGCGGTATTACCTGCTTGGAGCATAGTCATAAACTATAATCCTCATTAATGATAGAATCCAAGGGAGAAGCTTATTAAAACAAACATCTGAGGACCTGAGGTACCAAAGTGCATTATAATACATCTCAATAAAGCAGCAATGGGTTATTTTTCTGAGGAACTACTTAATAGGAATTCTTTTTGACTATATCTGAATGGAATAATGTAAATAAAACAAACCTGATATTTGAGTTTTCCCTTGCCAGGCAAAATATATGTAGAGATTTCCAAAGAACAAGCTGGGGGAAGAAAAGGGAGGGGAGAGGATGCTGGGGAATTACTGGAATACTTACAGTTTTTAAAAACAACTATTCCCATTATTCACTGAGAGAGACAGTCATAATTTCTAAATTCATCTACCTGCCCTAGGTCATTTAACAGTTTCAACTCCACCTTGACTCTTTCTGAAATACTGGACTAACCCAGATGGAATTCAGACTCTGTCCATGCGAAAGTATGGACCTGATTCAGAGCTGCACTCCACAGGGCTTGACTCACTTTGAAACATGTGACTTACAAACACTCTGGAAATGACTTCTTGGAAACAAGTTTATGCTACTTTTAAAATCCTCAAGAATTTACAAAAACAAATCTATGATCTAGTTATCTGCACCTAATCAGATTCAGATTCCTTATTGAGAACACCTTCCTAAGGAAGGAATCTTTCACACGCCTCTTTCTTTTTATTTTTTTAGTACCAGTGAATTTTGAGGCAGGGTCTCACCAAGTTGCTGATTCTGGTGTTTGAATTTGCAATCCTCCTGCCTCAGCCTCCCAAATTACTGGGATTACAGGTGTGTGCCACATGCCTGTTTCTTTAATCTATTGCTCCTTAAAATTAAACATTTTCATTTGCTAAGCCTTGTTGGGGCCATAATTCTAGGCAAGACCCATGAAGTTAAATCCTCAAGGCAGATTCCTGAGATCCAATGGTCATAGCAAAATGACTGTTTTTGCTTTTTTTTTTCCCCTTAGAAAACACATAAAAATATTGGAATAATTAGTCTCACTTCTGAATTTTAGTGTATTTGTTTACATTTATCAGGCAGTGTAGCTCAGTGGGAAGGATATGGCTGCTGAAGTTCAGATAACAACAGTTTAACTTGGATGAATTACTATTAGTCTATTTTCTCATCTGTAAAATGGAGCTAACACCTTCTCATAGATTATGTGAGATTAAGCAAAATAAGCAAAGAATCCAATAGTTTCTAACAGATGCTAAATACATGGAGGTTAAATTATTTTCTATTTACAAATCTTATGTTCCAATGAAGTAATCCATGCATTTAAAGTAATCCTGTAAGATTCTGAATCTGTATCATATTCAGCCAGAAACTTGAGTCACAAAACATGAAAGATTTGAATTTTAAACAAAATAGGTTTTAATAAAAGGTCTGAAAAGAAAGCAAAGTAGAGACTGAGCTCCAAAATTATTATTACCTGGACTGTAAGAGTGCCCAGAAAATTCCACTGTTTCTCCCGATAGTGTGCTCATCTGAATTTATTGTCAGGCAGTTTCCTTGTGCTGTCCAAAGTACTAAAATTAAACCAAAAGTTTATCAAGAAAATGAAATCCCCTGTCTTTGTATATTAAAGGCATGATACCCATAGATAGGCCCCAGAAAAGAAAACAAGGTAAAAATCAAAATGCTCACCAGCAGCTGCAATTCCAATGAAAACAGATGCAGTGTAGAAGGACCATGTGAAAGGCTGGATAAAAACGGCAATGTACATGCTAAAATGTAACAGGTCAATGCATTACAGTCAAACCACACCTGAAACAGTGCCCAGCATGCTTCTAGGAATCAGTTATGCTCTTCTTTTACATTCAACCTGTACAGGATGGTCTTTAAATGTGACCTACTCAAAATTTTAAAATCAGGCATTTTACAGGTTTACAAAGGCTTGTGCCAATAGTTTAGCACATGATGAACTACAGCCCTGAGAGCCCAGAAGCTCTTCATTACTTCATCTGGATCCTTATTAGTCAATCTGATAGAAAGTTAGATTATTTCACAGAAAGTTCTTTTCAACCCTTACAGAGATTTTTGGATACTATATATTAATAGTAAAATGAAAGCTGATAATACATCTCCCATCAATTAGGACATGGTATCCCTGAACAAGAAGCGGAGAGCCAAATCCCTAAAATACCAATTATACCCTATTCAGTCCAAGTCTGCAAGAGATCTTAAAAGTTTACTATATGTTGGAAAGGTACTGGAGGCATTCTAAGCAAACAAGTGAAAAAAAAAAGACTGCACTACTCACCTGTAAAATAAACCACTGGCAAACATAGAGAGCTGAGGTCCTACAATGGCAACCACTGATGGTGTAATCAAATTTGAAGCAGAGAATACTCCATAAATAATTGCCATGCTGTACATAACACACAAAAGAGAATTAAAGAACAAAATCCCTAAACACTGACTCAAAAAAAAAAAAATTAAAAAAAAAAAATAGTATCAGACCTTGAACTCAGGGCCCCACACATGCTAGGTAAGCACTCTACCACTGAGCTACATTTCCAGCCTCCGCACCACTATATATATATTTTTTTTTTTAACAGTACTGGGATTGAACCCAGGAACACTCTACCTCTGAGCTACATCTTCAGTCCCCCCCACCACACACTTTTCTTTAAATTTTGAGATAGGGCCTTCCTAAATTGCCAAGAATAGACCTTGAACTTGTGATACTCCTGCCTTAGCCTCCTAAGCCACTGGGATTACAGCATGTTATCATCATGCCTAGTTTTTTTTTTGATATAAATCCTTTTACTAAAATACATCAATGTCAACTTCATGTTTAAATATATTATTAAAGACTATGCAAGACATTTTATTATAATTACTAAGAATGACTTTGAGACTACTATTCTCTTTGCAGAAATACTATGTACAGATATAAAATGACTGAAGTAATTATGAATCTCAAGTTTGTACAGTAGCCATCATGAGCCACAATTTCTTCATTTTGAAGCTGCCCCTCTGTGTGTACAAAATCTTTTTCAATCCACTGCTCAAAACTGACAGGCTCTTTAGATGTGGTCTTTTCAATCTTCAAGGTCCACGCTAAGTAACTTTGTATTATAAGCTTTATTATATGTGAAAACATATGATGAACTCCTGGGGGAACATTCCTATGGTGGTCCAAAATGTTTCTGGATTCCCACCAATGATATTTTAAGGGGTGTTTTTCATCACTTGATGTAACTAAAACCACTTCAGCCCCTTCAGAGTTCAAACAGAGATCAAATTTTCTCATCTTCAAGTGTTAACCCTAAACCAGGGCCACTGGTTTCACCTACAGTTCACACGCCCTTTCTGTGCATCCTGTCTCCCTGGGGCCAGGACCTGTAGCCTCCCCCAGCTCCCATCATGCCCAGTTTCAAAAAGGTTTCACTTTAAAATTTCTATTTAGAGTCTGTAGATTTGTAATAAATATTCACATTTGATTGCATTCTTAAACTGAATGTCATATAAAGTTTTCACTTGTACATAACACTGAAGTCCCGTCAGATGCTTTGAATCAATTTTCAATGAATTGCTAAGTTACAGTAAGTGCTATATACAACAGGTATTGTGTCAAGTACTTTACAGGAATTTTGCTTTTAATTTTAACAGCTCTTACAAAAAAAGGTATTGATCTCATTTCACAGAAAAGAAAACTGAAATACAATGGAGTGAAATAAGTTGCCAAGAGTTCATCAGGGTGGCTAGTAAGAATGGTGAGCCAGGTTCCCAATCCTGACAACCTGATTCCAGGAGTCTAAGTCAACTAGTCCACTCTACAAAGTTAGCCTACCACTTTTGGCAACTGCATAACATTTCTTTGCTAAAATACAAAGCACGGAGTTGGAATGTATTTAACTCAAAATAATGGTTTCACTTGTACCTCTTCCAGAGTCTATGGACCAGGCCTACCATAATATCTTGTACAAAGTGTGATTAAAACCATTTCCAGGGTCCTGATTTCATTTACTAGCCAATACTTGTAAAGCAAACTGTTTTCTGGCTTTTATGAATCAATATCAAATGTGTTCCTTCATTTTTTTATTTAGAATACACTTGAAGACACAGAATTACCAAAAAATGTGATATTACTATTAAGCCATCTAGAAAAATGGATACTAACATTCTTTATTCTCAAATATCATATATATGGTTTAACATAGATAATAACCAAATAAGAAGAGTTTGGGGACAGGGAAATGCCACAATTCAATACTTAACTATAGAAAGATTTGAGAAACCCATTTTAGTCATTCTATAATGTATGCAGACTTAAAAAAATTATGTTGTACCAATAAATATATATAATTTTTGTCTATCAAAAATGTTTTGCCAGGAGCAATGGCACACATTTGTAATCCCAACTACTCAGGAGGCTGAGGCAGGACTTCGAAGTTCAAGGCCAGTTTCACCAACTCAGCAAGACCTTATCTCAAAAAATAAAAAGGGCTGAGAATGTGGCTCCATGGTAAAGTATCCATGGGTTCAATTTCCAGTACTGCAATAAAGAGAAACCTTTGTATACATGCACATATGTACTACCCCCATCTCCCTGCAGCTTCAATCATAAGATACTAGTGATCTGTGAAGGTCTTTACATTTTCCCCATCTATAAAATTGGAACTGAACACCTTAAGCAAAAATCTCAAGGTGCCTAATGAACTATAGTTGCTATGAAATCGCAAAAACAGGAAGATCGAATGATTCAAAAATCACATGAAACGTTTGTGATTTCATAATGGACATAATGGACAGTACTTTATTAAATGTCACACAGTACACCAAGTGATTTATCTCTATCAGATAAGCAAAGAAACTGGGATTACAGAAATAACTCTAAGGTAACTAAGTAAGCAATCAGGCTGTGTGTGAAGCAGGTCTTCAAAACGCTAGTCTCTAATTCCACAGGAAACCTAACTAGTCCCCTCTAACTGCATTATGTTCATCCCAATAAACTACATGGCCAGAAGAAAAGAGCAATCATCACTGATTCAACCACAGTATTTTATTGATTCAACCACAGTATTTTATTCCTAGTGATTCTGATGGAACTTACACAACTACCATTACATATAGTACAATACCTGGTATATCCACTGCCGTGAAAATCCGTGCTATTTAAGCTCCTGATGACAGTTTGCTGCGTAGAAGATAAAACTAATCAAGGAAAACGTTTTGCAATCTCCCTCCCCCTTGGAAAGTCCAATTCCACGCACTCAGAAGGAAAAACTGTCAAAATTCACAATGCAAGTCCACTATGAGAGGAGGAGGAGTAGGACAGCTGGAGTTCACACTAACTAAAGGGGCCGGAGGTAACCAGCGGTACCTGTGCTTAGGGTTCTATCACCTTGACCATCCCAGTACTAAGGTGGAGCTTCACAAAGGCAAGGAACAAAAAACGAGGGTCGACACCCCAAACAAAGTCGAACTGAGAAACAAAGGGAACGTGAAGCACCCCGTGAAGGAGCAGAGTCTGGCCCGTGAAATCAAACCTAACCACGGAAGACGGGGCGGCAGGTGGGAAGAGAGAAGGGGCCCTGTGCGCGCCACCGGACACGACTGGCGTTTTGCTTTCGGGGTCGCAGGGACAGGCACTGCAAGCAGGAGGCAGGCGCCGACTCACCGCCACGTTGCCACAAGTTTGAAAGGCGGTGAACATAAACATAAAGGCGACTCCGAGGATGATGATGTTGAAGAGCTTTTTGGACTCCGGGGACATTTTGGCTCCGCCCTGCCCGAGCTCGACAGCGGCCCAGGGCAGTCAGCGCTCCCGGGGCGCAGCGGCGACGACCCTGGGGACGAGACGCGGCGGTGCGGAGCCGGCAGCGCCAGGAGCCGAGCGGCCGAACTGGCAGCTTGCAGTCGAGGGCCGGCACCTGGCGCAGGCTGACGCTGTGCCGGGCGACACGGCCGTGCATTCCCGAGACGCGGCCCGAGCGGGGAGGGGGCGACGCCGGGCGCGCCACTGGCAGGGCCGCTGCAGGCAGCGGGCGCGCACAGGGGAGAGCGGCAGCCCCGGCCCCGCCCTCCAGCCGCCTGACTCCTCGCGGGTCACGAGGCCTGTCAGCTGACCGCGCCCCGGCGCTCTCTGGGAAGGGGAGTCCCGGCTGCGGGCCGCGCACGCGTACTGCGAGAGCCCCAGGCCCAGGGGTAGCAACCCAGCCTCAGGCCGTAGCGAGCTGCGGGAAGGGAGTCTGAGGCGGCGAGGACACAAAGCACTGGGAGCAGGACTACCACTCTGACAGAGGCAGGGCTGGGGCCGCGCCCAGGAGCTGCGTGGAGCTCTCGTATTGGCATGAGAAACAGGCGGGGCTGAGATAGGGCCCGCCTCTCCTCCCTCCAGCCCGAGCGCCCAGGTTCTGTCTCGCCGCCTGAAAGAGCATTTCGCGGGCTTTCCAACTGCCCTAGGTTCCACTCCCCGCTCCCGCCTGCGGTGACTGCGCGGTTTTTGGCCCGCCCGCTAAGCTCTGCGCAGGCGCGCCGGGCAGGGGTGGGGCGCCGGGCGGCGACGTTACGGAGCGGGTGAGGCGAGCCAATCAGAGGATTCATTTCCGGGTGGCGCGGGCGCCATTTTGTGAGAAGGGCTATAAACGGGCGCTGGGTTCGGCCGCCTATCCAGTTGCTGCTCAGGTGCTCACAGTTGCGAAGCTAGCACGCCCGCCAGCCCGCCCCTCTTCCCGGCCTCTCCACGCGGAAAGCAGCTGCTGGGGCGCGGCGTCGCCCCCGGACCTGAGAAGACCGCTGCCTGCCTGCAGCGCGCGGGCCCGCCCAGGCCGTTAGAGTCTCGGCGCCAGTTCGCGGGGCCCCGGGCCGCCTCGAGGCCATGAGCTACGGCCGCCCGCCTCCCGATGTGGAGGGCATGACCTCCCTCAAGGTGGACAACCTGACCTACCGCACCTCGCCCGACACGCTGAGGCGCGTCTTCGAGAAGTACGGGCGCGTGGGCGACGTGTACATCCCGCGAGACCGCTACACCAAGGAGTCCCGCGGCTTCGCCTTCGTGCGCTTCCACGACAAGCGCGACGCCGAGGACGCCATGGACGCCATGGACGGCGCCGTGCTGGACGGGCGCGAGCTGCGGGTGCAGATGGCGCGCTACGGCCGCCCGCCCGACTCGCACCACAGCCGCCGCGGCCCGCCGCCCCGCAGGTACGGGGGCGGCGGCTACGGCCGGCGGAGCCGCAGGTGAGCGCGGAGGGCGGGCGGGGCGGGCGGGCGGGAAATGGCGGCGGCGGCGGCGTAATGGCGGCGGGGCGGGGCGCGGGAGGCCTGGGGCCGCGGCTCACCGCGCCCTCCCTCCGCCCGCAGCCCTCGCCGCCGCCGCCGATCGCGCTCCCGGAGTCGCAGCCGGTCCCGCTCCCGCAGCCGCTCGCGCTACAGCCGCTCCAAGTCGCGCTCCCGCACGCGCTCCCGCAGCCGCTCCACCTCCAAGTCCCGCTCGGCGCGCAGGTCCAAGTCCAAGTCGTCGTCGGTGTCCCGGTCCCGCTCCCGCTCGCGCTCCCGGTCCCGCTCCCGAAGCCCGCCGCCAGTGTCCAAGAGGGAGTCCAAGTCCCGCTCGCGGTCCAAGAGCCCGCCCAAGTCTCCGGAGGAGGAGGGCGCCGTGTCCTCGTGAGCACATGGTAATGTCGGCGCCGCCGCCCGCCCGGCTGCGGAGGGCTGCGCTGGGCGTGTCGAGGGGTCGCAGGAGCATGAGTGTGGCGCTTAGCTGAGTGGCTGTTCGTAAGCTGTTTGAGACCTATTGATGAAAATGACTATTTCTTGCTGTTTTTATCCAACGTCTGCATTTTCCCCCTTTAAAGCTGCGGTCTCCTGTTTGATAAAAGAATATTGGCCAGTATTGCAGATTTTAACTGATTTGGCTGATCCTCCAGGGACCAGTTTCTGTGGGCGTGTATTGGAGCAGGTTTGTCTTTAAACGTTAAAGATGCACTATCCTCTTAGAGACAAACGATCAGTTCGACTATTGTTGTACTGATGGGACTTCGTATTCTAATGGATGTGGCAAACGAATTGCAATTAAGAAGCAATGAACTTTTTGGAACCCCAAAAGAAAGTTTATGCAGGTATTGCACGGGGTGGGGAAAGGATAGTGTGTCTTTAACTCTCAAATTGTTTGGTCCTGTTTTTTAAAAGGAAAGGGCCCTGAGTAGCTCAATAAAGACGTTAATCTCAATTGCCAAATGTTTTATTTGAAAATAAGTTACTTAAAGAATACAATAATTTCCCGATTTCCAGTTTTTGTTTGGATACAGCCCTTTTTTTTATTTTTCCTTTTTTCCCCCCCTTACCTTTTTCCACCTTGGTTATTTGGCCAAAAATTCAAACTTCTAAATGCTGTTGGTAGCCTTCAAAATTCTCTTAATTGGGCCTTAAAGACCAAAAAAGAAAAAAAAAACCGGATAGTGGCTGGTGGAACCTTACTGTAACCTCCTTGTTTCACCAGAGCCTTTTAGTAAGTACATGCCTGAAACTGAAACCATGTGCACTATATCTTTGTAAGTATTGGAAGGTAAACTGAACCTTTTTCTTTTCAAACCTAGATGTATCCGAAAGCAGCATAACAGAGGACTTGGGGGAAAAAAGGACTACATACTCAGTCCATCGGTCCATCGAAGAGTCCTTGGAACAAGCAACTGGCTGTTGAAAAGGTTATTTTGTAACATTTGTCTAACTTTTTACTTGTTTTAATCTTTGCCTCAGGTGGCAAACTTCATTTTATGTGCCATTTTGTTGCTGTTATTCAAATTTCTTGTAATTTAGTGAGGTGAACGACTTCAGATTTCATTATTGGATTGGATATTTGAGGTAAAATTTCATTTTGTTTATATAGTGCTGACTTTTTTTGTTTGAAATTAAACAGATTGGTAACCTAATTTGTGGCCTCCTGACTTTTAAGGAAACGTGTGCAGCCATTACACACAGCCTAAAGCTGTCAAGAGATTGACTCAACATTGCCTTCATTCCTTAAAATTAAAAACCTACAAAAGTTGGTGTAAATTTGTTTATATGTTATTTACCTTCAGACCTAAATGGTAATCTGAATCCAAATTTGTATAAAGACTTCAGGTGAAAAGACTTGATTTTTTTTTTAAAGGATTGTTTACCAAACACAATTCTAATCTCTTCTCTTATGTATTTTTGTGCACTAGGCGCAGTTGTGTAGCAGTTGAGTAATGCTGGTTAGCTGTTAAGGTGGCGTGTTGCAGTGCAGAGTGCTTGGCTGTTTCCTGTTTTCTCCTGATTGCTCCTGTGTAAAGATGCCTTGTCGTGCAGAAACAAATGGCTGTCCAGTTTATTAAAATGCCTGACAACTGCACTTCCAGTCACCCGGGCCTTGCATATAAATAACGGAGCATACAGTGAGCACATCTAGATGATGATAAATACACCTTTATTCCCCTGCCCCCCCACCCATGGTAAATCTGATCATCCTCATGTATGAACTTAAAATATGGAAAATGTTAAGGAAGCAAATGGTTTGTAACTTTGTAAGTACTTAAAAACATGGTGTATCGTTTTGCTTATGAATATTCTGTACTATAACCATTGTTTCTGTAGTTTAATTAAAATGTTTTCTTGGTGTTAGCTTTTCTCAGAATATGTCTTGGTTTTTTTTCACCCATTTATCTGAAAGGCCTATGCAATTATGTCATTGGCTGTATAGTATGAAGGTGTAATGTTTAGCACCTGCCTTCCCTACACAAAAAGATGTTGGAAATGCCCGTTGAACACCTAAAATCAATGCTTTTTAAGGTAGCACTTTGAGGTTATGAGTACCCTATTCCCCTTCTAACTTAATGCCATATTGATGACTATGAACAATTCAAGTTTTTAATCTTCATAGTTTTATTTTCATAATTATGTTGCCCATAAGTTGTCTAGGTGACACATCACAATCTTAAAGACCAGCAGATTTGACCATCTTCAAGCCTACTTTTTTTCCTCAAGAAGCTGAAGTAGCCTGATCCTAGTTGCCAGGTTGCTAATCAAATTGACATGGTCCCAGAACAGCTTGTAGGTGTAATTCAGAGACTGTCCTTTGCGAAGGAGATGACCAGCATTTCAACAGTATGTCTTCCTGGAAGTGCAGATTCTGCTATATCATCTTTGTCTGCATCAAAAGCCTCCAGAGGAATATGGACGCATTTCATATCCCACTTGTAGAGCAAAGCTTCAAGTGACCAGTCAGCACTAGGAAAAAATAAATTGTTTTTTTTTAAGTTTACACCTTTTCTGTTTTGTTTGAGATAATTTAATTTCATCCTTAAACTGGGATTATTCCCTCACCTTCTAACTTGGTATGTAGACCACAATTGAACCTTGGGGTTCTTCTGCATCAGGAAGTATACTGTAGTTAAGATGTCTTCAAAGTCTAAAAGAAAGCATTTTAAGTGGATTCTTCTACAATGCATTTCTGACCAAATTTATTACTAAATACTCTTACCTTCTGGCTCAAAGAATACGTCAGATGCAAGAATAATATCTTGTGGTGGTAGGGCCAGAAGATCCTGAGAGATGTGACCCCATGTCAGTCCTACAACCTGCATACATGGCAGGTTATTCATTTGGCAGCTTTGCCGACAAATTTCTAGACAGTAAGGCAGTTCTAAGCTGTCTGACAGTATTACTTTAGCACCACACTTTGCAGCCAAAATTCCTGGAAGGCTCACTCCAGCTCCAATCTTGAAGAAAAAAAAAAAAAAAAACATGGAATATAAAATTGGAAATAGCAAGCACTTGGGATCTTATCCCTGCATTCTTTAAAGATGGACATGCTTGGGCTAGGGATATAACTCAGTTGTAGAGTGCTTGCCTTGCATGCACAAGACCCTGGGTTCTAATTCCCCAGCACCACACAAAAGATGGATATGTTAACACATCTAGGAAGCTCAAGTTTTGGATTTGTTATGGCAAAGGTTAATTCCCTTGTGATTTCTACTGGGTCAAAGAGGAAAACAGGCATTTTCATTGGAATGTACAGGGAAGTAGGTTGGGGATACTTCTGCCGTAGTTTAGTCCTTTATTAGCACAATCTATAATCATTAGTATGATGGTGACTAGCTGGCATTACCAATATTGCTTTCCTGAGGCTAAAAACAGGTCTAACAACTAAAAGGCATTTTCTAGCTGGGTCTTCTAACTGGCAAAGCTCTTTAAAGAATAATACCACCTGATTTTATGTTTAACAAGGGCTAATATCAAGTATGTAAACTTCGATCTGAACCCAGCATTTTGGGAGACATTGTACCTCTAAGACAGCCTTCCCCGGCAGAGATCTTCTGTGAAACCATAGGTACTGGGCCAGAACTACAGCACAGGGCCAAACGTACATTCCATATTGGAGATGCAGGACCTGAAAAGAATATTTTGATTGGCCCTGAATCAAGGCCAGCAGTTTGTTGAAACTGTTGGTTTCAAGCAGGAGCCTAAAAAAAGATGTCTATTGGCTATTTCAGAACTTCAGAAGTGTAATAGTCAATTCAATAGAAACATCTGAAGGGGGAAAACAAAATATTTTGGAATGTCAATAAAAACATCTGCTGGAAGTTGGAATATTTATACAGAAATTACTGTCAGGCACTGGCATCTATTACAAAAATGACAGTTCACCAGTGCCCAACTTGGGTTATAAAACTTTAACCATTTGATAAACACTTGAGACATTAGTTCCTTCCACAGCATTTCAACAGTGCCCTTCTGGGCATATGGCTCTTGTGCAATGTGTACACCCTATTTATTGGAAGGAGATGGCCAAATAAGCAAATCAGATATTACAAGTTAGTGCTAAACACTACAAACGGCAAAACAGTCATGTGGGAGCAATATGGACACAGGTGAGACCACAAAATGGCTACTATGATAAGGAGGCAAGAGGACTCAGGAAAAGGTCCTGAAGTAGGCAAGGCTTCTGGCTGGACTGCACAGCCCTGGAAGGACAGGCATGGGACCTGGAGGCATTGTGCAGTGCAAGTCAGAGATAAGACAGAGACCTGATTCATGGGCCTCAGAAGTTGAAAATTTATTCTAAATGCAGCAAGATACTGGGATTTTCAGCACAACAACGATCTGCTGATGGCAAGTAGTATAGCCCTAGGGAGACATCCTAGAAAAGGTTAAAAATGGAGCTGAATCTGGGGTTGAAAGGGAATGAGCCTTCCTCAGTTCAAAAACATTACAGATTCGTAATTTACCAAGTGTGTGACACAGGTTAATTCAATTGGTCAGTGCTTCAGTTTTCTCAACTTCAAAATACCATCTCAATTGGCTGAGATGAAAGGCACAAAGTACCCAATGTTGCAGCAAAACTTCTCTTCTGTCTAAAGAGCAAAGGGTGCCCCCTGGTGGGGTGGTAGAAAAAAGCTAAAGACCTAAAATCAGTCCACAGACAAAATCTTCATTACTCGATCCAATAAAAAACATTAGTGCCTAAAATATCTTAAGCACTAAATATAGTGGTACAACATGAATAGGGGCCTGGCCTGTAAATTTTACCCAGAAGGAAAATAAAGATTCAGCGAAAGACATCTGAGCAGAAGATAGTTGTGCAAGTTCGGGTTCTAAATTTAGAAGTTTTTAAAATGTGAATCCGATTGGATATTAGCAGAAACTGGTTCGTTCAACTCTAGTCTTAACTTCTCAAGCTGTTCCGTCCTCTAATGTGCGGATTCTAATACCTACCTCACAGGCTGCCATTAACATCAAATGAAACTACAACGTGAAAATGCTCAAAAATTATTCATTGTGTGTGGCAGCCATGAGCTCAAAGAAAGAAGCAAGAATACACCCATTTATTTGGACAATGAGGGCGGGAATACCTGTTCCCAGATTTAAGCAAAAGTGAAAAAATCTACGACTAGGGGTCAGCTCAGTGGCAGAGCGCTTGTCTAGCATGTTTGAGGGCATGGCCTCACTAAGAGTGTCAGCACTAAATGTGTTAAAAAATTGAAGCCTTTTAGTCAGGCCTGGTGGCCACGCTTAGAATCCCAGCAACCCTGGAGGCTAATGCTGGAGGATCTCAAATTTGAGGCCAGTCTCAGAAATTTGAAGATTGCCTTAAAATAAAAAGGGCTGGGGATGTAGCTCGGTGGTAGAGCGCCCCTGGGTTCAAACCCAGTATCACCACTAAGAAAAAGAAAAAAGAAAGAAAAGGGAAGTCTTTCGACAAGATGAAGATTAAAGTTAGGAGTCGAGAGCCACTCTGCTGGCAGAAAACGCTCTGTGCGGAGAAGCCCCCTTGCTATCACGGTCCCCGAAGGCCTCACTGCAGACAGACGGGCTGCTCTTGCTCGGGAGCCAACCCAAAGCCGCGGCGCCTCGGCTGCACACACCTGCGGGACGCGGACCTCCAGCTCGGCCCCGTGGGTTCCCGGGCCCCGCTCCTCCGAGAAGCGGAAGCGCTGGGCACGGGCCACATGTCCTGGAAGACCGCGCGCGCCCAAAGGAGAATCGGCAGGCCGCGGGCACGCGGGGGTCGGCGGAGGGCGCGGGGCCGCCAGGCCGTCAGGGACCGCTTCCCGGGCGCCAGGTGCTACGCGGCCTTCCGCCGTCCCTCCCGGCCGCAAGAGGGGGAAGGCCGAGCTCGCGTGGGGGTGGGGAGGGGAGTCGCAGGAGCCAGGAGGCACAGGCACAGAGAAAGCCGGAAGCCAGCTTGGCGAGATTCAGGAGAGGAGCAGGGGCGGGGTCCCGGCCGGAAGCTGGTGGTGGAGAGGCCACGCACGGCCGGAAGTGGCAGCTCGCCGGAAGCGGGGCGGGGCGGTGGCCGACGCGACCTTCCCAACATGGCGCCCACCCGGCGCGTGTGAGGGCGTACCCGGGAGGCGCCGAGGCCAATGGCGAACCGCGACGGGCGGCGGGGCGGGGAGGACGGCCGCCGCACGCCCAACCCGCGGCTCGGGAGGTGGCTGAGGAGTGAATTTTCTGGAAGGCGACTTTAAAGGCGCCGGGCCGGAGCGAAGGGCGTCTCGGTGCCGCCGCCCGGGCCAGGGAGGGGCGCATTAGCGGCAGGAAGCGAGGTGCGCCGAGGTCGTCGCGGAACCAGCTGGTGACCTCGCAGGATGAACCACAAGAGCAAGAAGCGCATCCGCGAGGCCAAGCGCAGTGCGCGGCCGGAGCTCAAGGACTCGCTGGACTGGACGCGACACAACTACTACGAGAGCTTCTCGCTGAGCCCCGCGGCCGTGGCGGTGAGCGGGCCCGGGGTCGCGGGCCGGGCGTGGGCCTGCGGGAGCGGGGCGGGCCTCCGGCGGCGGCGGCTCTGGGTGCGAGGTGCGCCCAGCACGTGGCCCCCTCCGGAGCCTGTGTCGGAGGTCGCCCATGTCTGTCATTGCTGGTTGGTCTTGGGGGACACCCTTATCTGCCTCCGGGCTCATTTTCTAACTGGACAGGCCTTTTCTGGTTCCCTCAGGATAACGTGGAAAGGGCGGACGCTTTACAGCTGTCGGTGGAAGAATTTGTTGAGCGATACGAAAGACCTTATAAGCCCGTGGTTCTGCTGAATGCCCAAGAGGGCTGGTCTGCGCAGGAGAAATGGACTCTGGAGCGCCTGAAAAGGAAATACCGGAACCAGAAGTTCAAGTGTGGCGAGGATAATGATGGCTACTCGGTCAAGATGAAGATGAAGTACTACATCGAGTACATGGAGAGCACCCGGGATGACAGCCCCCTCTACATCTTCGACAGCAGCTATGGTGAACACCCCAAAAGAAGAAAACTTTTGGAAGACTATAAGGTGCCCAAGTTTTTCACTGATGACCTTTTCCAGTATGCAGGAGAGAAGCGCAGGCCGCCGTACAGGTAAAGTATTCCGTAGCTCAGTGGTTCCAATCTCATCCACACCAGCCTTGGGTAGCAGAGTTCAGTGTGCTGACCTTCTTCTGAAAAAGTGAGTGAGCGGCTCTCCCTTGGCTGAACATAAAGTCATTTAGGGACCCACTAGGAGGAGATTGTGACTTAACTAGTCTAGGGTCTATTGGCTAGTCAATCCTAAAACTCCCCAGGAGACTTAGATGTGTAATTAAAGCTGAACCACTGATGTCTTAGGGAAGTTTTAATAATTACAGTTTAGCAATAAACTATATCAGTAATTTTTTCTTTTTTCTGTGAGATATCAGTCCTCACACAGTTCACTTAATATTTCTATGTATCAGAATGCGTACAGTCTCAGAAATGAAGAAAGAACCATGTGCATAATATAATATACAGTAAGAACTTTCTTCTGTGTCCTGTATGCATAATTAAGTCACCTTTCCTGTCTTGGGTGTTTCTATCCTATAGGTGGTTTGTGATGGGGCCACCGCGTTCTGGAACTGGGATTCACATTGACCCTCTGGGAACCAGTGCCTGGAATGCCTTGGTTCAGGGCCACAAGCGCTGGTGTCTGTTCCCAACAAGTACTCCCCGAGAACTCATCAAGGTGACCCGAGAAGAAGGAGGGAACCAGCAAGACGAAGCAATTACCTGGTTTAATGTTATTTATCCCCGAACACAGCTTTCAACCTGGCCACCTGAATTCAAACCTCTGGAAATCTTACAAAAACCAGGAGAGACTGTCTTTGTACCAGGTATAGATGAGCTGAAAGAAAACACATTCTCTGGTTTTGGGGGCGTTGTGACAGGCGTTTGCAATACTGGGTCTCAAACCTAAAGGAAGCTCTACCACTGAGCTCCATCCCCAGCCTTTTTTGTTTGTTTATTTTTTTTTTTTTTTTTTAATTTTGAGACAAGGTCTCTCTCACTAAGTTGCCCAGGCTGCCCTAGAATTTGCAATCTCCTGCCTCAGCTTCTTGAATCACTGGGATTACACGTGTGCACCACCACATGAGGCCCAAGAACATATTTTTTTAGAATACTTATTTTTTAGTTGTAGTTGGACACAATACTTTTGTTTATATATGGTGCTGAGGATCGAACCCTAGCACATGCTAGGCAAACACTCTACCACTGAGCTATAATCCGAGCCCCCAAGTACATTTTTTGATTGCAGTAATTTGTCTACTCATTTTTTTTTCCTGCTAAAATAATTCACTATATTTCACATTGCCTACTCAATTTGGAGATATATATACACACATATACATATACATATATATACACACACACATATATATACGTATACATACATACACACACGCACATACATACACACACATACACAATGAATCCAGAAAGTTCTTTTGCACCTTCCAGATTCATGAACTGACCTGTGTGGTGACTGAATCTCAAGTACAAAAGGAGCTCTTACCCATATACTGTGTAACTAGAGGTTACCTAGTATCTCTGAGTTGGGTAGCAGTTTGTGTCCATGTCTAAGTTGTTTGTTATTTTTGTTTTGTTTTGGTGCCAGAGATCTAACCCAGGGCTAGTAAATAGGCTGGGTTGAGTTAGGAAATCTCACATCAGACAACCACACTTTGATAGGTGAAGCTTACAAGAGTAAAAGTATTTGAGGTGGGTGTTCTCTTCCTAGAAGTTGAAGAACTTTCCACCTTTAGGCTACAGCTTTGGATTACCAGGGGTCAATAAACTTTTTCCATAAATGGTCAGAGAGTGAATATTTTAGACCCTGTGAGCCACACAGTCTCTCACAATCACTCGACTCTGCTCTTTGGAAAATATCTATAAATGTTCAAAACGGGTCAAGTGTAGCTGTGTTCCAGTAAAATTTTATTTACACTTATCCCTGGGTCAGGAGCAGTTTACTACACTGTGTCGTGTCTGAGCTGTCCCTTATGGATAGGAAGGCGCGATTTCTGGAGTAGGTGTCACAGGGTATTTGTGTGTAAGACCAAACCCTGTTGAACTGTTTATTTGTTGGATTTCAGGAGGCTGGTGGCATGTTGTTCTCAATCTTGACACCACCATTGCTATCACCCAGAATTTTGCCAGCAGCACCAACTTCCCTGTTGTGTGGCACAAGACGGTAAGAGGGAGGCCAAAGTTATCAAGGAAATGGTATAGGTGAGAACCTTTTTGATTCTTATTTTGCTTTGTTCTAATTGCTACCCCAGAGGTAAAATGGCAAGAGTCCACTGCTGCAGTACCATGTGCTGACTTTAGAGAGGCCCGGGCAGAGCTGGGGCTGCACACCTGACAGGGAGCAGAGAGAGGGACCAAGGTCAGGGCTGGTGCTCAGGACGCTTGCCAGCCTCCAGGTGGCAGGGTGAGGCTCTGCATGTTCTATCAAAGCCACTCCGACAAAACATGCTCACGATTGGGATCGTTTCTTGTTTTGCTTTGTTTTTTTTGTTTTTGTTTGGTTTTCAAGGCTAGCACTAGCAAAAGAAGCCCTTTTGTTTAGGTTTTATTTTGGTTATTTCTTTTTCTTACCCAGACGTATTATTCCCATTTGAACTTACTGCCTTCAGTTCTTATGAGTGAGGTGACTGCCCTGGAGACTTAGCTCCTCTGTTTATCCACAGAACAGATACAGCACGGGCAGCGGCAGTGCAAGCCACCCCCAGCCACCCCGTGCCACTGTGTCCCAACCCTGACCTGGAGGGACCAGCTCTCGGGGTAAGAGAGGGATTCTGGCTCGTTCAGTGCTCCTCCCTGCTGAGAGGGCCAGCAAGGGTGGTGGCTTCTGTTCCCCCGACTCAGCACTTGAGGCCCACCTCCTCTGCCCTGCAGGCCGCAGAGTGCTGTGGCCCTGTCACTCCAAGGCCTTATGTACAGCAGGTCTTTTGTGGCGGGCGGCTGCTCTTGATGCCCGTTCAGCTCATCTTTCAAGTGCGGGGGGTGGTCTCTCTCGTTTGACACCTAATTTCTTACAATCCTAATTGTTTCTGCTCTGACTAGTAGAGTCTAACCAAACCCGACTCGTTAGGGCTGTGCTGTGGAAAGGAGAGGTCAAAAAACTAAGAAGTAGCTAAGAAAGTTTCAGGAAAAAATAAAAAGTAGAAGAGGAGCTGTTTCTCCCCAGGGAAGAACCAAGGCAAGCTTGGGGGGTGCTACCCCTACTGTGGTGGCCCGGCTGCTCATCCTGTGGGTAGTGATGGATCGCGTGGCACTAGAATGTCATTTTCTTTTAGGAAAATGTGGGTAGTCTATGAGGGTCTGCACCCTGCCAGGGCTATGCTTCCTTGCCGTTGTGCAGCAGCCTTCTGCCAATCCCTGGGTGTTTCTAGGCATTTCTAAGTGATGCAGGACCCCACTTGGAGTTACTGTGTGTGGGCGTTGCCACCTGTGACAGCACTGAGGGTGTCCCTTGCCTCTCAGGATCTTGCGGCAGGAGCACCCTGAGCTGGCAGTCCTGGCAGATGCTGTTGACCTCCAGGAGTCCACGGGCATTGCTTCCGACAGCTCCAGCGACTCTTCCAGCTCCTCCAGCTCCAGCTCCTCTGACTCAGACTCAGAGGTAAGGCCCAGCTTGCCCGCACTGGGCCCTTGAGCTCAGGGTACCCTGCAGACCAGTGCAGGAGAAAGAGGCTGCGAAGCGTTTTCTCCTCCTTTCCAGCGCCACAAGTGCTACCATGCCTGCCTAGCCCTGGACTCTGCCCATGCCACAGCTTTCCATGTGTACATGAACATTTGGGTGTTTGGGGAATCTGTAGATGACCCAAAATCACACAGCTGGCAAACAGTGTCAGAATTCAAACTCACATCACATCAAAGCCCTTGAGGTGGTAAATTGTAAGCCTAGAAACTCAGCAGACCCAATTGACTGCTTTAAGGTAAGAGTGATATTGGGTAAGGGATACACCCTTCACATAGGAAATTTGTGTCTTTTTTTGGTACCAGGGATTGAACTCAGGGGCACTCAACTATATCCCCAGCCCTATTTTGTATTTATTATTTAGAGACAGGGTCTCATTGAGTTGCTTAGTACCTCGCTTTTGCTGAGGCTGGCTTTGAACTCTCGGTCCTCCTGCCTCAGCCTCCTGAGCTGCTGGGATTACAAGTATGTGCTGCTGCACCCAGCTGAAATTTGTCTCTTAATGTCACTGTACTTGTGTTCTTTTACACATTGAGCTCTTTGTTGGAGGAGTGAAATTCTGTAATGCAATTTCAGAATGCCAGCTTGATTTCAACCCATAAACCTTTGGTGAGAGGCCAGTGGAGCAGGGGAACTTTGGCACCTTAGTGAATCTGTGATTCATAGGAAGCCAGAAGCATCCGCAGAGGTTGATGCTAGACTGGCAGAGCCGCCATCGATGGCTGCTTTGCTTCTTGGAGAAAGGGGACAGGAGTCTGTGCTCTTTTGTGGTTCAAGATTTGTTGGTGAAGTGGGGTGCACCCAGGCTGAACCCTTGCTTTTCTTTCCTGTGTGCAGTGTGAGTCTGGGTCTGAAGGTGAGGGGACAATGCACCGCAGGAAGAAGAGGAGGACGTGCAGCATGGTGGGAAACGGGGACACCACCTCACAGGACGACTGCGTGAGCAAGGAGCGCAGCTCTTCCAGGTGACAAGCACGGCTGTTGTGTGCAGGGACATGCTCACGGCGAGGGCAGGGCCCAGGGAGGGCAGCCTGTTGGGATCCTACAGACCAGGAGGGGGCTGACGCATGCCAGAGGAGGAGGACACTCTTGGAACGGGACCGCTCACTCAGCGTTGGCTGCAGTAGCTTTTTCTCTGCTACCTATGCAAATTGAGGAGGCTTGTTTTATCATAAAAAAGGCAAGAGTGTGAGTGGTGCCAAGAAGACCCTTTACACTATTTAATAAAGATGAGTCCATTTTACACCTGACATTTTTCCTTTGGGAGTACCAGACCGCCATGTTGCTCTCTCCTTTGTGGTCTGTATGGAAATCGCTTTCCCTGCTGGTGGGTCCTGGTGGTGAGGTGGCAGCTGGAGCAGTGAATGGGGACCCTGAGGCAGAGCCTCCTACCTCTCCTCCCAGTTTGCTGGGGCTGCTTTGAGTCCTCGGGCCAAGTTGGACAGCAGCAAATTGCTCAAGTTTTCTACAACATCTTAATCCCATTTCCAAGTTTATATTTTCTTTTGAAACAAGATTGGATCTAAAACTTCAGAATTAGTAACAATGTATTTGCCAACACCTGCCCTTATTCCTTTTGCCCACAGCAGAGGGTGTTCAGTTTGCGTGTCTGAGGTCTTCAAATCTGAGTTCCTGTTTCAAGGTGCTGGTCAGGTTGTTAAACGGGGAGGTTGTGGGAAGGTGATAAAATGCTGACGTTTGTAAGACTCTGGGACTTATGTCCTAACCGGTACAGGTGACATCATGTTACCTTTTATCTCTGAGCAGGTTAGCTTCATGAAACTTGGGGCCCACGTTCCCTTTCTGTTGTCTTCTCTGGGTTCCCTGGTCCGGCTGTAATTCTTACTCAAGTGAGTTAACTAGGCTGGAATGCGATTCTTGGCCCTGCTGTCCCTTTCACAGCCACACTTAAGGTCTCTTCTCTTACCTTCCTAAGCTGTTTCTATTGTTATATCTGTTAGATCCATGCTTGGTATGTGCCTTTGTGATTGTTGGGAAGGTTTTTAGAGGCTGTGTGCTGTCCTGCATACCTGTAATCTCAGCAACTCAGGAGGCTGAGGCAGGAAGATCACAAGTTTAAGGCCAGCCCAGGCAACTTTGCAAGACCCTGCCTCAAAATAAGAAAGGACTGGGAATGTAGCTCAGTCGCTAGAACTACCATAACAGAAAGATTATTTTAAAGAAAGCCCTGCCATTGCTTCAACACAGGTCCTTGGGGGTTCTTCTGCTAACCTTCTCACCAGCTTTGTGCCCAGCTGTGCTCTCTCCACATTCTGATTACAGGCAGTTGTGCTTCCCTTGGCAGGATTAGGGACACTTGTGGAGGCCGGGCTCATCTCTGAGCAGATAGAGAGACGCTCCTTGAGGTGGCTCCTGTGTACACTGGTGGCTGCCACCCCGCTCAGTTCTCACGTCTTCTGCTTCTACCTTCTCCTCTGTCTTCTTTGAATTTGGATCTTCCTTCTCTGGTCTGAGCTCCTGTCTTCAGCCGAATGCTGGTTTTACTGCTTCCCAAGACTAGATTGTCAAGAAGTCAGAAAGCTCTGCCAGCTCCGTGACACGCTGGAGCTGCCGTGCTGTTGGGAAGAAGTCCTGATCAGAACCACACGGTCGCCACAGGCCGGAGGGGTGCCGTTCACTCAGCGTCTTACTGTGTCTGTCACCTCACTGCTGTTGGTAAGGAACTGCTGCCTTTGTACAAGCAGAGACACTAAGAGTGGCAGGTGGATGTTGACCCACCTGTGTGTGAACCTGTCGTGTGTAAAAAGTACTGTGAGCGTGTGCTGCCTTCCTGGATGTCACCACTGGTCCAGAGACCTTCAGGGGCAGTGGCCCAGCCACGTGCCCAGCACCGCCGCCCCTGCTCAGTCCTGCTGTAGGATTCCTCATCTTTCTCCAGAAGGCTCTCAAGTTCAGGCATTTTTGTACGGTGTGTTGGGGGGGTGGGCACATTCATGTCTTCTGTTTGTGCAGACTGGGAAAGGTGTTGATTGTGTTTTTGTCTTAGAACTTGAATTATAAATAGGCCAGGTTCTAATCCATGGGTTCCATTCTTCCCCCAGTGTGACCCATGAGCAAGAAGCTCCCACTCTGTAAGGGACTTCATGTCTGGTGTCCCCTTTATTTGACCTGCAGACATCAAGTGGGCAACTTATGTTACATTCAGGAAAGAAATTTTGGAAATGGTGCTTCTAGTCTTTGGGATCTGTGGATACTTCTGAATAGCTCTGGTGGAGTATTTGGGATCAACCAGCAGGTTTCCCCTCTTGCCCTCTAGATTCACCTGCTTGCCTTAATCTGTTCCTGAAGCCAAGTGAATTTAAATCAGAATAGCAGGGGTTTTCAAGGCCTTGCCCAGTCACACAGTCAGAGGCACCACACTGTTTTGCTGGAGTTTGGGTGAGAGACGCCCAGGCAGAAATGTTGGAATGGTGTGGTGCTGCCTCTCAGAATCCCCTAAAACAGGAATGATCAGAGGACCCAGACAGTACACTCTTAGCAAATGGGCTGTCATTTCCTGCCTCTATGTCCTGTGGCTTTACCCTAGGACGCTGGTCCTCTGGTTTCTCTTGGTACCAGGTTTCTGCATCTTGAAATGCCAACACAAGTTCACCCTGGGCTGGTGGGAGAGCCTTTCTCTTCCTCCGGGGCAACACCGTGGCTGCAGGTGTCTCCTGGCTTCCCTTCCAGCAGCAGCTCCCTATGCTCCCGCAGTGGGCAGGACACATTCAGGCATGGGTCAACCCTGCACTGGTAATCCCGTAATCCCCGTAGAAATATCTGAATGGTGTTCCTCCTCCTGCTTATTTATTTATTTATTTTTAATAGTCTTATCATCTTCCAAAAGCTTTTTCTTTTCCCCAGCATTGCTACTCGGCTTTCTGCTTGTCCTGTACCAAGTGCTCCCCTTTAAACTTCAGTTTAAAACAAAAAACACCCAAAGGGGCCCCTTTGCCACCAGGGGCATGGAGGGACACATTGCCAGTGGCCTGGGAAATGGGGCAGGAATTGGAAAGGGAAAGATCATGTACTCACTTATTTCTCCAGATACCAAAGTTGACTCCTGGTTATTAAACACCACCAGGAATGAGGGACCTAGCCACCGCCACCTCTCCTGAAAGTGTTTGGGTGGTACAGATTATGTGCTGCTTTTCGACTCTTGGCAGCCCACAGATAGCTGCAGAGCGTGTTTTATTGGTTGTAGCCAGGCCAGGGACTCATCATTCTCTCCTCCACATAGTGCCCCGTGGGCCAGCCAGGCACTCTGTTGTGGAAGCAGAGCGGGAGCCAGGGGGAGAACCCTGTGGAGTGGTGAGCAGGTGGGGGAGGGCTCACCTGTCAGTATTCCCTAGTCCTTGAATGGTGTCAGCAGGAAGGAAGGAGAGGATGGCTGCATCCCTCGGCCATTTCCAGGGGTTGTTCTCCAAGACAGTGGGTCCTAGGAGAAGGAATTTCACACCAGTGACCACCTGATAGGGAGGAGCTGGGTAGGAGCAACAGGAGTGGGGGCACAGACACCTTGAGGGCCTTGGGTCTTCGTGAATGGGAGAATCCAGTGCTGCACAGGTCCCCAGAGTGGTCCTGGGATGTTCATGGTGCTGCCCTTGAAGGGAGGGCTGCTGAAGCTGGGGCACTGTTCACATCTCGTTCTACGTGGCTGCCCACTTCTTCAGTAATTCAAGTGCTCAGCAGATCTGGTGCTGGGACAAGCCTAGGCCCCTGACCTTAATGGATAGTGACTGTGTGTTCACCAGGGTGGCTGGTCAGGGCAGGGAGACCCAGCGGGTCTCATTAGCACCAGCCTGTCTCATTAACACAACTAGAAAAGCAAGTGTCTGCCTCGCTGAATGCAGGTTCGTTAGCTCCTCGTGAGGGACCTCAGCTAGCTAACTAGCTAGCGTTATGCCAGGGTACCTGAGTCTGCCCACGGCTTCTCTGGAGTGGCTTAAGGTTTCTAAACTAAGGGTCGGCAGGGGAAGGTGCTGGTGCAAGTGCTTTATAAACTTAGTCTCGGCCTTGAGCCAAGGACTTTGGACCAGAGTGTGGGATGGAACAGAACCTTGCACCGTGGTAAAAAGTACTGTGTGGGAAGTAACAGGTGCGTGGGGCTGTGGGTTCTTCAGGATGTGTGTAGCTTTCCCAGAGAAGTGGTTTTGATGTGTGATGGTCTGGCTCCTCCTGCCCATCCCTTCCTGTCTTTTGTGAAGATGTTACATCATGTTACGTTGTTTTCAGCAAAACTAGATGAAATGGGCCCCTAGGTGGTGGCTCTCAACTTTGTCTCCTGTAAGTTCAAACCCTTGAATCCTAGCCCCTGCAAATCTCCCTGGTGGAGAACCGGCCCTGGCCGGCGGGTGACAGGAAACCACAGAAGAACTGGGCTGCCTCCTGAGCCCTGGGCTTCAGAACCCTGAGCCACCCCTGGTTCTGCTCCCTCTCACTGTGGGCCTGCCATGGAATGCCTATGGGTCTGCCATTGGATTGGTATTTTTAACTTTCACTGGGATGAAATTTGTTCATCATTTTAAATAAAGCAACTGGATTTGGATTTGTGTGTTTTGTGTTGTTTTATCTTTGTTTTCTTTCATTCTTATTCCTTTGAAAGTCAGTAGAATGTAGTTTGTCAGATCTCTTAAAAATACACTTTAAAAACAATGGGAAAGGGTGACTAAAATAAGGCCCAGACACTCAGGCTACAAGGCCCACCGTGTTCAAAAGCCAGCACCCTACCCAAATCCATTCTTCAGTACAGTGTTGGGCTGTCCATTAACCAGCACAAACAGGACATGCATGTCCTTCAAAACTGTGTGCACCACAGGCATAAGCTCTCCTAATTGCTGGGGATCCTCCTGTCACAGCTGGAGCACATGAGGAACCTTAGATTGTCCCTGTGTCTTCTGTATTAAAAAAACAAAAACACACCCTGAGCCTGGCATGGGGGCCATGCCCTCCAGCAACTTGGAAGGCTAAGGCGGGACTGCAGTCTAGGCCAGCCTGGGCCAAAAGGAAAAAGGGTTGGGGGTGTACCTCAGTAGTAGAGTGCCCCTGGGTTCAATGTCCTGGTACTGAACAACAACAAAAAAAGAATCTTGGGGCTGGGTGTGTACACTGACACTGAGTGCTTGCCTGGTATGTGTGAGGCACTGGGTTTGATCACCACAAAAAGTTAAAAAAAGAAGCACTCTAGCATATTGGTTTATATCCAAGTATTAAATGAATCCTAAGATTTTTTTTTTTTTTTTTTTTTAAA